CCCGCGGGCTCAGGCAATTCACTCACCTCAGCCTCCCAAAGGCGCGGGATTACAGGCTGAGCCACCGAGCCCGGCTGTGTTGCAGTTTTAAAATCATTTTCGCATCTATTATTTCTCTATCATTTTCTCATTTACTTCTCAAAATAGGTTCTGGTTTTAAAAGACAATCTGTAAATGCTCCAAATTAGTTCTTCTCACGAAGCCAGCTTCTGAGTCAAATGACGTTGAATGATGAGACGTTGCTGGTATGTTTGCCAGCTAAAAATAGTTAACATCAGCCTTTCTTGGGGAGAAAGGACCTTGGTTAGCAGCAGGAGGGGAGGAACACTCCAGGCACGCTGGCAGGCCTATGGCAGTCAAGACTCCCCCTTCCCCTGTCATGCAGCCACCGGCTGACCTGGCCTGCACCTCCATGTGTCCCCAACCCCCCCCCAGATTCCTCACCTAAGCTGCAGATAGAGGGCTTGGGCTCCATGTGCCAGGGCTGCCCATCAAGGTCTAGGGGCTGTGCCGCCTCTCTAGGGGCTACAAGGACAGCACGCGGTCCAGGGTGCTGGAGAGTGTGCAGGGAGCAGTGACCCCCCAAGAAGCTCTGCTCCCAGGGATGTACTCTGGTGACCCTGCAGGCTGTGGCAGAGCCTCGCTGCTGGACGTGATCACCGGCCGAGACCACGGCGGCAAGATTAAGTCAGGCCAAATCTGGATCAACGGGCAGCCCGGCACACCTCAGCTGGTGAGGAAGTGTGTGGCCCATGTGCGCCAGCATGACCAGCTGCTTCCCAACTTGACCGTCCGCGAGACCCTGGCGTTCATTGCCCAGATGCGCCTGCCCAGAAGTTTCTCCCAGGCCCAGCGTAACAAAAGGGTAACTCACTGACCTCCGTGAGGGTCCGAGAAACTGCAATATCCTCCCCCTCCCTCCCTACCCCACCTGCCATCGCAGCCACAGGTCAAGTTTGAGCAACTCAGCTCACTATTCATCACTACCCCAAGTCTACCCCAGGCCACCCCCTGCCCCCAGCCCTCTTTAAGGCCAGAAGCCTGCTGTAAGCCATTTCAGACCGCCCAGTCCCTTCCCGGCACTTGTCAAGATGTGTGATGAGTTTATTTGCTTGTGTGTTTTCTGTTCTTTCACGTGGGCAGGAAGCCCAACTGTCTGGCCCCAGCCCATGGCCACGTTCCCAACACGGGGCACCGTGCCCAGCACGTCGAAGCTGCTCAGGATCTGGGGAAGAATCAGGAGAGCAAACGCTGCAACAGGGCCATAAACCTGGGCTGTCCTCCCCATCCTTAAAGCCCACCCAGAGGAGCAGGCATCTTTATGCTTCGGGTCACAACAAACCCAGCCCACGGGGGGAGGTGGCCTCAAAGCCCCCCTCTCGTCCGCAGGTGGAGGACGTGATTGCCGAGCTGCGGCTGCGACAGTGTGCTGACACCCGCGTGGGCAACACCTACCTGCGGGGGGTGTCGGGGGGCGAGCGCAGGAGGGTCAGCATCGGAGTGCAGCTCCTGTGGAACCCAGGTGAGGACACGGGCACCGGAGGGGGGCAGAGGGGCCCACTTGGTGCCACCCTCAGGCTTGGCTTGGTCCGGCCAGGGGCCCAGGCTCACCGGGCCCCTCTGTCTGCGGGAAGGCATCCTCATTCTCGACGAACCCACCTCTGGGCTTGACAGCTTCACGGCGCACAACCTGGTGAGGACCTTGTCCAGGCTGGCCAAGGGCAACCGGCTGGTGCTCATCTCCTTGCATCAGCCCCGCTCGGATATCTTCAGGCTGTTTGACCTGGTCCTCCTGATGTCATCCGGCACCACCATCTACCTGGGGGCAGCTCAGCACATGGTCCAGTACTTCACGGCCATCGGCCACCCCTGTCCTCGCTACAGCAACCCTGCCGACTTCTATGGTGAGCCCTCAGAGCCAGCGGCCGCTGACCTGGCACTTGGGGCCTCCCCCACACCCCAGACACCGCCGGGGCTGGCTGAAAGGATTCAGGAGAGAAAGCCCAAAGGCTTCGGGGGAGGGGGGAGGATGGGGTGGTGAGCAGAGAGGGGTGAGAACGTGCAGCGTTCGGCCAGGTGTGGAATGAGAGAGAAACGAGGTCTGAAAAGGCAGCTTCTGACCAGCAGCTACCCTTCTGTGCACAACAGACTAGAAACTTCCAGGAGCTCCCAAGACGAGAGAGGGCCGACTCCATGAGTGTTCGGATCCATTTCTACAACTGTGGTCTTTTTTTCTGTTTTGAGTCAGAGTGTGACTCTGTCACCCAGGCTGGAGTGCAGTGGCACACTCACGGCCACTGCAGCCTCGACCTGCTGGGCTCAGGCGATCCTTCTACCTCAGCTTTCCAAATAGCTGGAACCACAGGTGTGCACCACCACGCCCGGCTAATTTTTTTAATTTATCGTAGAGACGAGGTCTCCTCATGTTGCCCAGGCTGGTCTCGCACCCCTGAGCTCAGGCAATCTTCCCCGCCTCGGCCTCCCAACGTGCTGGGATTACAGGCAACTGTCATCTTTATTCAGACTCTGTAGGAAACAGGATCTTTAAGGTCAGGGAGCCACCAGGAAGTCCGAAGACTATGCCCTGGAGACCCACAGAGGTTGGGGCCTGGAAGGTGGGGGTGGCGATGGGGGTGGCGGCGGGGGAGAGGAGAGGGGCCCAGGGGCCAGCTCAGAGCCTCTTCGGTGGTTTTGGCCCATGAAGTTCGAGACAGGAAAGCTGCTCTCACGGCCCCAGACTGCCTCGTGCTTGGTGTCCTGAACCCTCAGCGGATTTTGCCCAGGGGAGCACAAGCCACTTCCTTCATTAGGAGGCGAGAGTTGCCTTCCCTCCCTGGGAACTAGCGCCTGGATCTTGAGTGCCGAGGAAGGGCATGGCTGTGGCACAGGTGACTCCCTTGTGCCAGGGCCCTGGAAGCAGCAGTTGCAGCTTGTCCCATAGGTTTCCTGGAGCCCCAGGTTCCTCCCAGGATGGCAAGCTGGGGCAAGGCCCTCACCATCTCCTGAAGGCACATGTTCGGCCCCAGAGTGCCCAGCTCCAGCGGGTCTCCAGTTTGACTCTCACACCCCAGCAGGCCACGGTCATCTCCTCCTTTACAGATGGGATGACGCGAGCTCCAAGAGCTGAGCACCTGGGTCGCCCCGGCATGGCTGTGAGGCACAGGACTGAGATGTCCTGCCTCCTGGCCCACTGCCCATGCTGACCTTCCAGAATTCCAAGCCACCCTCCACCCCACCCCCAGGAGGACAGACCGCCCTCGCCTGTTTACTCTGTATGAACTCACGCAGAGGTCACTGCCCTCTCCGTGCTCAGGTGCAGCCTGGCTTCCTGCCAGTGTGTCATCCTCAGGCCAGCTGTCCCCAGAATGGGGGCAAAGGGCACTTGCCAACCTGGCCACCAGTGAGTCATTTGAAGTAACCCCGAAGAGGGGTTACCAGAAGTCAAATGGCTGAAGCAGACTGGAAAACTTTTCTTTTTCTTTTTTTTTATATTATTATTTGGAGGGGGAGGGGGGCTGTTGCCTATAAGCCCTGGGGCAGGGACCCCTTGCCACTCTGGGGTGCAGGAACTGCACAGGGCCTTGGGTGCCCAGGAAATTTGTTTTTTGTTTGTTTGTTTTTTGTTTTTTTGAGTTGAAGTCTCACTCTGTCGCCCAGACTGGAGTGCAGTGGCCACTCCCACGCTCCCAGCCACCGCAGTCTCGCCCTGCTGGGCTCCGGCGATCCTTCCGCCTCAGCCTTCCGAGTAGCTGCAACTACAGGGCGCGCTACCACGCCCAACTAATTTTTGGTTTATTGTAGAGATGAGGTCTCGCCAAGTTGCCCAGGCTGGTCTCAAACCTGTGGGCTCAGGCAGTCCACTCACCTTGGCCTCCCAAAGTGCTGGGATTACAGGCTGAGCCACCCAGCCCAGCAATTTGGTCTTTTGAGCTTCAGTCCTGCAACCCAGGGGATCCATTGTGGTTTATAGGACTCCCCGCCTAGACACAACTCTGTTAGGAAAGCAGAAAGAGGGAAGAGGGAAGCCAGACTCCAACTCAAAAAAAAACAAAAAGAAGAGGGAAGAGGGAGAGAGGTGAAGAGGTAACCCTGGCCAAGCCAAGGCTCTAGGAGAGGGAAGGAGGGAGGGAGGGAGAGAAGGAGGGAGGGAAAGACAGATACCCCTGGTCAAGCCAAGGCTCTGGGGAAGGAGGGAGGGAGGGGAAAAAAGTGGGGGGGAAGAGAGAGGTAAACCTGACCAAGCCAAGGCTCTGGGAAAGAGAGGAAAGGAAAGAGGGAGGGAGGGAAGGATCCTGGGTGGAACTGGGGCCAGGGCCTCTGCTGATGTCCACTCCCTGACCCTCTGCCTGTCCCCCGGGCTTCTGCAGACATGGTCAGGCCTGGTGGGGGAGGGGCCAGCCCTGGAGGTCACTCTGCTCTGACCACGGCTTCGTGGTTCTCTCTGAGGATGGGAGCACGTGCCATCTCCCTCGCCCAGGGCTGCTCAGCATTGTGGGAACAGGTGCCAGGGGCCCCCCCCCCCCGCCCCCGACAGCTCCACATCCTCTGTTCACAGTGGACCTCACCAGCATCGACAAGCGCAGCAGAGAGCAGGAAGTGGCCACCAGGGAGAAAGCTCAGGCACTTGCAGCCTTGTTTCTGGAGAAAGTGCGTGACTTAAATGACTTTCTGTGGAAAGCAGAGCCCAGGGAGCTCGACGTGGGCACCTGTGCAGGGAGGTAAGGTAGGCCGGGCGACCCTGGGAGGAGCGCCCCTTGCAGGGCGGTCGCCCCCACAACCTGGCCGCCTCCTCTGCCTCCCACAGCCCGGACCTCCCACAGGACAGCAGCTGCCTCCCAGCTCCTGCAAAGCCACCTGGGGCCGTGCAGCAATTCACCACACTGATCCGGTAATGAGCTGTCCTTTCACGACAGCCCTGCGGCCCCCAAAGTCTGTGTGTATCACTTCAAGCCTTTTCTATCCCAAGTGGCCTGAAGGAGGAGGCAAAAGTGGAATCACCTGGAAAAAAAAAGTAGTGTCCTTAGGAGGCTGAGGCAGGAGGATCGCTTTTGCCCAGGAGTTTGAGGCTGCAGTGAACTATGATCCTGAAGGGAAGGAGCGAAAAAAGTGGGGAGGGAGAGAGAGTGCCTGGGTGACAGAGCGAGACCCTGTCTCAAAAAGAAAATAAGCTGGGCGCAGTGGCTCAAACCTGTCATCCCAGCACTTTGGGAGGCCGAGGCGAGAGGATTGCCTGAGCTCAGGGGTTCGAGACCAACCTGGGCAACTTGGTGAGACCTCGTCTCTACAATAAATCAAAAAATCAGCCCAGCGTGGTAGTGTGTGCCTGTGGTTCCAGTTACTTAGAAAACTGAGGTGGGAGGATCACCTGAGTCTGGCAGGTCGAGGCTGCGGTGGTTGTGAACATGCCACTGCACTCCAACCTGGGCAGAAAAAGTGAGACTCCAACTCAAAAAAACAAAAACGAAACAAAAAAGAAAATAAAAATTAAAAATAGTAGGTTGGCCCTATGGCTCACACCTATAATTCCAGCACTTTGGTAGGCCGAGGCAGGAGTATCTCTTGAGCCCAGGAGTTCAAGACCAGCCCAGGCAACATAGTATGACCTCGTCTCTACAAACAAATAAAAAAAATTAGCCAGACGCGGTAACTCATGTGATTCTGGACTATAGGTCCCAGCTACTCAAGAGGCTGAGACACAAGGGTCACCTGAGCCCAGGAGGGGGAGGCTGCGGTGGCCATGAGCGTGCCGCTGCACTCTAGCCGGGCAACAGAGTGAGACCTTGACTCAGAAAAAAAAAACATAACAGTCACTTTTTAAGTGCTTACTGTGGAACAGACGCTTTCATCAATTTCCTGATTTAATCCTCAAAGTAGCTCTGTGAGGTGGGTTTTACTATTCTCATTTTACAGATGAGAAAAGTGAGGCTTGCGGAGGTGAAGTGGCATTCCCAAGCTCCACGGGGCCGGCGTTTCCTGCTTCCTCGGCAGCTCTCTCTCTTGTCTTTTGAGCCGGCAGATCTCCAACGATTTCCGGGACCTGCCCACCCTCCTCATCCACGGGGCAGAGGCCTGCCTGATGTCCCTGACCATCGGCTTCCTCTTTTACGGCCATGGGGGCATCCAGCTCCCCTTCATGGACACGGCAGCCCTCTTGTTCATGATCGGCGCTCTCATCCCCTTCAACGTGATTCTGGACGTCATCTCCAAGTGTGAGTGTGGCCTGGGGCCTGGGCCTGCAGCAGCCACACCTGCCGGCCACCTCCGAGTCCTCACCGAATGATTTCATCGTGAAGTTCACCCATTAGTATGCAGATGAAAGCCAATTACAACCGAGTCCTCTTGGTTAATTAGGAAGGTTTCACCGTGCCTGCTTTTTAAAAAAAATTTTATTATAAAGATATGAGGTACATTTCAGGGTTAGGTATGCAAACATTGATCATGCAGTTACCCTTGTTGAAGAGGTATGCCCCTCCCTCCCCTGACAGTTTCCCACTACTGCCAACCGCTTTCTTATAGCCTTATAATTGTTCAAGGTCCGTTTAAAAAGACATAAGAAATTTATGGCTGAGCATGATGGCTTGTGCCTGTAATCCTAGCACTTTGGGAGGCCGAGGTAGGAGGATCAGTTGAGGCCGGGAGTTTGAAACTTGCAACAAGATAGCGAGACACACCCATCTCTACAAATTAAAAAAAAGAAAGAAAGAAATTGATGCGATTTGGGCAATATAACGACTTTGAATCATATTAAGAGAGACTCAAACACAGAAACACTGTAGATTAATTTCACTTTTTCAGCCTCTTCTCCTTTCCCCCTTTTTAGGTTACTCAGAGAGGGCAATGCTGTACTATGAACTGGAAGACGGGCTTTACACCGCGGGTCCATATTTCTTTGCCAAGGTGACTGGACAGGGTTGAGTGGAAGCCCCCCACTCTCCCTGCCCTGGGTAGAGGGTGAGATGGAGAATGCTTGTTATGGGGAAGCGTTTTCTGAACCATGGGGCGACTGGTCCTCTGTGGTTTCAGATGCCACACTTCCTGGGGGAGTTTCGGAGACTTGATTTTTTTTTTTAAACATTTACCAGAAAACCAGGACCATGGGCCAGGAATGATACTTTTCTGGTCAGCAGAAACCTACAAAAGAAACACCCAGCATGCTTTAGCTCTTCAGAGCCTCCCTATAGGAGCAGGTCAGGCAGGTATTTGCAGAAAGCAGAGGTTCAGAGAGGTTAGGCGGCTCTCCCAAGGCCACACAGCTACTAGGTCCGATCAGGAGGGGTAAGGACTTGAAACTGGGTTTTAGGGGAGCAGGCAGTTACTGCCTCCCCCGGGGGAAACGGGTTGAACTGCCCCAGAGAGAGGGTGCACCTGGCATCTACAGGGTAGTGGTGGGAAGCAAGGAGCTCATATATCAGGAGGGAAATCTACCAGACCCTGCCGCTTTAAAAAAAATTAAATTGCGTGGTGGCTTTCACCTGTAATCCCAGGAGGCCAAGGCAGGAGGATTGCATGAGCCCAGGAGTTCAAGACCAGCCTGGGCAACATCACGAGACCTCATCTCTACAAAAAAAAAAAAAAAAAAATCAAGAAACAAGCAGGGTGTGGTGGTGTGCGCTGGGCGTTGGTACCTTTCAGTGATTTGAGATGACGGCAGACAGCGGGCGGGTGACACCCTTGTGCGGCTGTTCCCTGCAGATCCTAGGGGAGCTTCCAGAACACTGCGCTTACATCGTCATCTATGGGATGCCCACCTACTGGCTGGCCAACCTGCGGCCGGGCCCCGAGCCCTTCCTGCTACACTTCCTGCTGGTGTGGCTGGTGGTCTTCTGCTGCCGGGTCATGGCCTTGTGTGTCGCGGGTCTGCTCCCCACCTTCCACATGGCCTCCTTCTTCGGCAACGCCCTGTACAACTCCTTCTACCTCACCGGGGGCTTCATGATAAGCCTGAACAGCCTGTGGACAGGTGAGTCTGTGCCCCCCACCCCGGCCCGGGCGAGGCCCAGCTCTGGGACCTTCTGGAAGCAGATGCCCGTGCCCGCTGTCCTGCAGGCTGAGGGAGTGATGCTCTTAGAGGGGACAGAGGGCACCTCCCATCCCCACGGCTGACCCTGGAAGTCACCCTTGACTCTCCCCGCCTTCCCGTTCTATCATCTATCAGTGAGCCTGGCCATTCAGCCTCCTAAGTCCTTCTGAAATGTTCCGTGGTTCTGTTGCCCAGCCTCTGTCATGTGAGCCCGAGCTGCTAACGAGTCTGGCCTCTGTGACCTGAGACCCTCTGTGTCCCTCCCGGGCTGCTCCTTCCCTGCAGCCCCCAGCCCTTGGAGTTTGAAGCCCCAGCCCCCTCTACCCCCGCTCCTCCGAACGGGTGCCCTAGCTGTCTCTGGGATGCCAGGCCCCACCTTCCACGGGCCTCGCTTGACGCACCCGGGCAGAGCTCCCCCCATACCCTGACACCTGCACAGGATCAGAGCACAGACCCCGTCCTCTCCAGTGCAGGGCTGCAGGCTCTGGGAAGCTGAGCGTGTGTGCATATCACTCAGTTACTCTCTGGGATTGTTACAGATCAAGTGTGAGGGGGACTCGCCGCCTCTCAGTTCCCTCGGCCCCGGCCCATGTCCTCAGCTACTCCTCTGCCCGTTGTCCACCTCTCTTCCCCCTCTTCCCGCCTCAGGGGACTTGCTTCCCCTGGGCTGGAGCCACCCCGGCCCTGTCTTGTAGACAAGAGCACATCCCAGAGAGTGGGTGGCACCCTTTTGCAGGTGGGTGAGCTCGTGTGAATAATGTGGCTTTTGCTGTCTTCAGTGCCCACGTGGATATCCAAGGTGTCCTTTCTCCGATGGTGTTTTGAAGGGTTGATGAAAATTCAGTTTAGCAAGTGTGATTATAAGATGCAGATGGGCAACTTCACCGTCTCAGTCTCAGGAGACAAAGTAAGTAGGGAAGCTCTCGGATTCGAAAGTGATGGGCATCCTAGCCTGGGCAACATAGTAAGACCCATCTCTACAAGAAAACTTAAAAATAGCTGAGTGTGATGGTGCTTATAGTCTGTAGTCCCAGCTACTCGGAAGGTTTAGGGAGCAGGATCACTTGAACCTAGGAGTTGGAGTCTGCAGTGGGCCGTGATCGTGCCAGCCTAAACTCCAACCTGGGTAACAGAGCAAGACCCTGTCTCTTAAAAAAAAAAATTGATTGCTGGGCACAATGGCTCATGCCTATAATTCCAGAACTTTGGGAGGCCTGGGCAACATAGCTAGACCTGGTCTCTACAAAAAATAAAATAAAAAAATTAACAGGACATGGTGGTGTGTGTCTGTAGTCTCAGCTACTTGGGAGGCTGAAATGGCAGGATTGCCTGAGCCCGGGAGGTCAAGGTTGCGGTGAGCCATGATTGTGCCACTATACTCCAGCCTGGGTGACAGAGTGAGACACTGCCTTAAAAAAAAAATTGGCCAGACACAGTAGCTCAAGCCTGTAATCCCAGCACTTTGGGAGGCCAAGGCAAGAGGATTGCCTGAGCCCAGGGGTTTGAGTCTGCAGTGAATCATGATCGTGCCAGCCTGTACTCCAACCTGGGTTACAGAGTAAGACCCTGTCTCTTAAAAAAAAGAAATTAATTGCTGGGCACAGTGGTTCACTCTTATAATTCCAGCACTTTGGGAAACTGAGGCAAAAGGATTGCTTGAGTCCAGGTGTTTGAGACCAGCCTGGGTAACATAGCTAGACCCGGTCTCTACAAAAAAAATAAAAATAAAAATATTAATAGAGCATAGTGGTGTGTGTCTGTAGTACCAGCTACTTGGGAGGCTGAACTAGAAGGATCACCTGAGCCCAGGAGGTCGAGGTCGCGGTGAGCCATGATCGTGCCACTATACTCCAGCCTGGGCAACAGGGTGAGACTGACTTGAAAAAATTGGCTGGGCATGGTGGCTCAAGCCTGTAATCCCAGCACTTTGGGAGGCCAAGGCAAGAGAATGACCTGAACCCAGGGGTTCGAGACCAGCCCGGGCAACTTGGCAAGACCTCATCTGCACAGTAAGTCAAAAAATTATTCGGGCAGGGTAGCACGCGCCCGTCGTTCCAGCTATTGAAGGCTGAGGCGGAAGGATCACCTGAGTCTAGCAGGTCAAGGCTGAGATGGCTGTGAACGTGCCACTGCACTCTAGCCTGGGCAACAGAGTGAGACTCCAACTCAAAAATAAATAAATAAATAAATAATGGACAGGCCCCCGAACGTCTTCTTAACGAGCTCACTGAGTGTCTGTGTCTCCAGATCCTCAGCGCCATGGACCTGAACTCGTACCCGCTTTACGCCATCTACCTCATCGTCATTGGCATCAGTGCCGGCTTCATGGTCCTGTACTATGTGTCCTTACGGTTCATCAAACAGAAATCGAGTCAAGACTGGTGATTCCCACCAGGCTCCTGCCTGCAGGCGGGAGACCCCAGTAGAGCCTTGGTGGCACTCCCTTCCTCCTACGCAGCCCCTCCCTGGGGACCCCGAGGACCATGACGACACAGGGGCTCAGCGACACTCGGCCCGTGGTGCTGCAGTGGCACAGACCAGCCACAGGATGGCAGTAGAATAAAGACAGTCGAAAGGGATTTCGGCTCCCGGGCAGGAGAGGGCGAAGACCGGGAACGAGACAGCCTGTCCTTGGTGGCACCTACAATGTTGCTAATTTATTTCCTTTTGACGTGTATGTATGCAGGCAACCCGATATAGGATGGGAGCAGATTAAGCACGAATTGAGTAGCTCGGCTGGGCAGGCATCGCTGGAACCCAGAGGAAACAATAACTGCTACAAAAGATTGGGCCTCATCGTCCAGGGGCCCCCAGCTTTGTGGTCAGCCACTCTCCACACTGAAAGTGGCCTTAAACATGCCAGCGAGATGCCGTCCCTTCCTTTTGGGTGGGGTCACGGCCTCCAAAGCCAACATGAACAACTAAACACCTATCGGGCATCTATTCTGTGGCCAGGACAGTGCCAAACACTTTATGTGGATGCCGTCGTTCAATTCTCAAAACAACCCTCTGAGGTAAGCGGTATCCCATTTTACAGGCAAGAAAACCGAGGCACAGATTCATTTTGCTGAGGTCACGTGGCCACGCTGCTGTGGAGTCATGAGGGCAGGGGCAGAAAAGTCTTTGGTGGCTTCGGGAGTGGGAAGCTGGAAGGCAGCCTGAGCCACTGGAAGGTTTGGAAGGCCCAGATGGTTCCAGAAGACAAAGGGACTCATAGAGGCAGGCGGTGTCAGCTCAGCCAGGCCACCTAGCATAGCACCTCAGGGTCAGCTTCAAACCGTTCACAGTGGCCAGGGCGTGAAATGGTCAAGCCCAAGCTGCAGGTTTCATGCCTGAGTTGTTGGGGACCAACTCCCCAGGCTCTGGGCACTGCTAGAGCTGGTTGGACAGGCAGAGTCTCAGACCCCACCCAGCCCCGTGGAGCCAGAGTCCGTCTCGAAGAAAGACCCCCTGGTGTTCCGTGCACGTTCGCTGCTCCTACGTGCCCTCCACACTCCCCAGGTGTGGGCCCTGGGCGCTGCCTGGGGCTGTCATCCGGCGCAGCTCTGCCCTCTTCCTGACACTCACTGGGTGTCCTGGAGATGCCCTTCATAGAGAGCTGGTCCAGATCGAATCAGGCGTGGCTCTCGTTGTCATGTCTCTTTGATCCCCTTCCGCTGAAAAAGGCTCCTCAGCGTTCCTTGACTTTCATGACCTTGACCCTGGGAAGCTGCTGGAAGCTCTCTCTCCATCTGGGTTTGTCTGATGTATTTTCATGATTAAGCAGAGGCCACGCCCCCTTGGCAGGAATGTCACAGAAGGGACGCTGCGTTCTGCTCGGTGCTTCCTATGGGGGCACGTGAAGTCAGCTTGTCCCACACTGACAGAGCTCACTTTGATCCCTTCACTAGAGGGCGTCTGCCAGGCCTCGCCACAGTCAAGGGACCATGTCCCTCCTTTGTCATTTATAAGCATTTCGTAGGCTGGTACTGTGAAACTATGCAAATTGAAACTGTTCCTCACTATACCTCCCAAGTATTCCTTTTTAAATTTTTATCCATACAGACTTTCGATTTCCTGTTTTATTCAATGGGTTACAGTTCTTGACTATCATTATTAATTTGTGTGCTTACATTGTCCCTGATTTGGCCAGTGGGAGACCCTTCAAGCTGGCTTCTGCATCCTTTTGACATGTCCCCAGCATTCTCTGAGGAGTTTGTTGCACAACAAAGTGTTTCAGGGTCATCTTGTATTTTCCCACTCCCGCCCTGGAATCAGCTGTTTCTCTCAAGAATCTTGGTTTCTTTTAGTGGAAAATGGTGTTTAGATGCCATGGTCTAAGTAACAGGTATGCTCACTGCTGTTGGGACATCTCTGCTCCCAAGGCCACTCAGTGAACAGTTAGGGATTTGTGTGTGTGTGTGTGTGTGTGTGTGTGTGTGTGTGTGTGTACATACCCAATTACATATATGAGTTCACACTGGTAATATCCAACTCCCATCCAGCACCATGGAGTTGATTTTTGTTTCTTCCCTCTTCTCCAATTGTGAGAAGCTGTCTTCCATTATACTGACAATAGAGGAAGTTCCCAACATATGAACGAGTTCGGTTCCCTGAGTGCATTCGTAAGTCCATTTGTTGTAAGTCCAACAAAGTTAGCCTAGGTACCCAACTAACACAATCCACTAAATAGTACTGTATGTTTTTAACAAGCTATACTGACACCTGATGGAGAGAAATAATACATTAAAAAGCACATGCACAACTTTAAAGTTCATAATGTGAAGTTTCGTATGTAGGGGATTTACAGTATTTTTTCATTTGATCAATCCCTTGCATGTAAGGAGTCTCCCATCTACACCACCCACCAGCCCCTGTGTGGACATCCTGCTCACTCTACTTGGGCTCTGCTACATCAAGCTGTCCCCAGGTCTGCACAGTGCCCTCCTCGGCTATCCCCTCCTTTGTGGTCACCTGATAGTTTTAGGCCTGAATGAAGAGGAGGGAAGGAACAAGAGTACATTGGACTGTTTTTCTAACTCCCCAGGAATGTTCGGGGAGGGTTGACAGCCACTAAGACACATCACCTAACTTTGTAAGCTCACCACTCAGCCTGCAAAGGGCCATAATAACTCGGTGGGCTCTGTATGTTGGGCTACAGGGGGAGGGGCAAGGGGCAAAGTGCAAAGGCAGGAGAGAGAGAAAAACTCCAGTAGCTGTCATTTCTTTGTGGGTTTTTTTCCTAGAGCAGTGTATTTTTTCCCCCTAGAGTAGTGTTTTTTCTAGGGCAGTGGTTCTCCACCTGGTTGCCCACACTAGAGCTTTAACTAAGGCCAATAGATACCCCACCACCAGATTCTGATTCCATGGATTTGTTTAAAACATCCTCCTAAAGCTGGGCTTGGTGGCTCAGCCTGTAATCCCGCGCTTTGGGAGGCTGAGGTGAGTGGATTGCCTGAGTCTGTGGGTTCAAGACCCGCCTGGGCAACTTGGTGAGACCTCATCTCTACAATAAATCAAAAAATTAGCAGGGCGTGGTAGTGTGCGCCTGTAGTTCCAGCTACTTGGAAGGCTGAGGCAGAAGGATCGCTGGAGCCCAGCGGGTCAAGGCTGCGATGGCTGGGAGTGGGTGACAGAGTGAGACTCCAACTCAATAAAAAAAAAAAATCCTCTAATTAGCTGGGGCATGGTGACATGCACCTGTAGTCTCAGCTACTCGGAGGCTGAGGTGAAAGGATAGCCTGAATCCGGAAGATGCAGGCTGCAATGAGTTGTGATTGCACCACTGCACTGCAGCCTGGGTGACAGAGTGAGACCCTGACTCAGAAAAACAAAATAAAACAAACAAAAAACCACTCTCCAAGGCATGTGAGACTACGAAAAAGAAGAACCAAGGTTCTGGAGGCAGGCATGCTGTTCACTGAGCCCTGCCCAGCGTTGCAAAAGGGTGGAGATCTGCTTATTTGCAATTATCAAAAAGCCTGTGTTGCAAACTTTTCCTGTTAAGGGTGGGATAGTAAACATTTTAGTTTTGTGGGCCCCGTGGCCTCTGTTGCAGTTATTTAAGTCTGCTTCTACCGTGTAAAAGCAACCATAGACAGGAGCAAAGCACAGGTGGTGTGGCCGTGTTCTCATATTATTTACGAATATTATAAATAAAAAACAGGAACTTGCAGGACTTGACATATGCAGGACTTGGCTGTAGTTTGTAGACTCTTAATCAAAAGGTAAAGGTTTTAAAACTTCCGCTTTAAGCCCTCCGAGTTCAAGTTATGCTATTTTAATTAAACAGAAAATGATTACCTATATCGGCCCAGATACTTCCAGATATTTTGTTAAACTGCCTTGTTCTATAAAGAGTATTTAAGATGTGTTCTTGCTCTGGATTAAGCAGCCTAAAGAAGAAGATCTCACTTTTGCTTTTGTTTTTCTTTTTTTTTCTTTGGGGGTCAGCATCTCTCACTCTGTTGCCCAGGCTGGAGTGCAGTGACATACTCACAGCCACCGCAGCCTCAACCTACTTGAGCTCAGGCGATCTCTTCCACGCCCAGCTAATTTATTTATTTATTTGGATTTATTGTAGAGATGAGATCTCACCAAGTTGCCCAGGCTGGTCTTGAACTCCTGAGCTCAGGCAATCCTCTTGCCTCGGCCTCCCAAAGTGCTGGAATTACAGGCTTGAGCCACCGCACCTGGCCTGCTTTTGTTTTAATTCTTGTCTTGATCCCAAATTAAACACCTAGCAGCAGATATTTAAATCTGTTAAATCCAAGTGGTGACAGATCTGGGGCCAGGGGTTCTACTGAGACTCGAATAGTCGCCTAGCAGAGCTTAGCACAGCCTGCAAACCACTTTCCTCTGGTCCCTGCCTGCCTTGGGGTCTGGGGCACCAAACTGGCTCCAAGAAGTGAACTGGGAACTGGAGTGCAGGGAGAGTGATGCGTTCTGTTGCTTGACCTGTGCTTATTTGGGAAACATATCCAGTGCTCATGCTGGAAGACAAGCATCCTTATTGGCGAATAGTCTGAATGAGGCAATTCAGAGCTCCAGTCATCTGTCATTCGTCCTTGACAATGATCGGCTCTTCCTTTGAGGTGGCCTGGGTATGGAGCAATATCCTGTGTCCACATCACACGGGCTCTGCCCCAGGCAGCCTCGGCAGGGGAGGCAGCCCAGTGGAGTGCAGCCCATTTTCTGCTGGAGAGCCGGGAACAGCCTCGCATGTGGTGTTAGCAGCCAGTAATTAAAACGATGTTTCAGCAGTGGGCTGAGATTTTTAATCACATACCACACTCCTCTGTCTTCTGTGTCACCGTGCTTAGTTATGCGCACGTGCAGTTACCATACGATTGTCTTATCTTTTGTAACATTGGAAGTCACCCTGTTTCCCCCAAATGCTCATAAGCCCCACTGTCCCATATTAGGAATACCGCTCTTGCTGATTTCACTATTGCACAGACCCTCGGTGCTGTGGTTGGGCTCAACTTGAGTTTGTATGACATACATCGCTTGAGAGGCCTCCTATCCTTGTGGGCACTCGGCTTTTGAAAGACTCCTTGGGCCTCGGCCCCCAAGGTCCTAACTCTAAGCTAGAGAGTTCATGACTAGAACCCATATGAAGACCAGGGCATGAGAGGAAACCCTCCAATGCCCACAAACCATACATCTCAAAAAGAATAGGCTTGGAGTGGGAAAAGAGCAGGGTTTGGAAAGGTGTTGTGCCCACGATTCATTCAGTGATGAGTCCTGGGCGCCCACCATGCCCAGCTCTGTTCTAATAGGTAGGTCTGCAGAGCAATGAGAGGGCTCAATGCTTTGAGCAAGAAACAGACAAAAACAAATAATGAAGAGAGTGTCACAGCAAGCGCATGTCTGGGGGCCGGTTGAAGAGGACGCCTTCGAGGACTCTCTAGGGGTAGATCTCAACAGGCAAGCATCGCCCAAACACGCGCGAGGGCGTAAGCCTGAAGTTGGTTAAATGTTTTTGCTCTACCTAGCCCCGAAGATGTGTGTTTTTCCTCTATGCAAAAAAGAAAAAAGATAAGTGCCTATTTTCGATTCGCTAATGCAGCCATTTTCTTTATTTGTACTGAGGTTGCATAATGCAGGCTTTGTAAAGTCTGCAGGACTGAAAGCAGTATACATTTCTAATGGAAACACTCCCGGGAGTGATTGTACAACAGCAAAGCGATGAATTACCGTGATTTTGCACCCCCCGTGGCTGTGAGCTTGGCCATGCCTCAGGAATGTTGCTTTTGAATATAGAAATGCTACACATATTGGTTTGTCAGAAAGGTGAATTATTACATGAAAATTGGGCTCAAAGACATGAGAAAAAGTGTGCGGGGTACACACACTGCAGACCTGAGAAACAAACAGCATTGGAGAGCAATTTGCAAAAAGCTTAAGAAGTGACAGGGACACATCCACTCCCCAGGACGCCCAGCACTGGGACTTGATGAAAGGGTTGAAAATCACCTTGGTGTAAAGAGGTCAAAAAGTGGGAGCATATGTTAGCGTGAAAGTTTTTTTAAAAAAATATTCTTTGGTTTAGATTCCACTTTGACTTTTAACAGCCTTTAAACGGGATCACTTCTGTTCTGTGCTCTCATAGGAGGCAAATGACTTGAGTGAGGGTCTTCACCGGGAGATGGATCACTGACTCTGGGCAAATCCGCCTGTGTGGGCCTAAGTTTTCTCATCATGGTAGTAGGTGCGGTTGCCCACGTAGACCCACAGAAACGACTAGACTTACTTGACTGTGAGCACGCAGCCGGGGGCTGCGCAAGGTTTGGAGAAACATGAGACCAAGACCTGGTCCTTACGGACTCACGCTATGTGGACACAAGGTGTGATGCCTGCTCTGAATTGGTAGGAGACCTAGAAAGGGAACAAGCTGGTTGGGGGTGAGGGTCTGAGAAAGCAGCAGAGCTAGTGGTGACAGTGATCTCGTGGGCATCCACGGAGAAGGGGAAGTGGAGCCCGCCTTTGCGGGGGGTGGTGGGTCTGCCATCTGTGGGGATGGAAACCACTCCTGCAGACATGACGCAAGATAAACCCCCTGCATTTTGGGGGTTCATTTACCAGACGTCCAAGCTCTAGCTTCCAATTCTTGCTAACACTTTCCCTCAGAGATCTCAAATACCTGCTTGTCCATAAAGCAGGTAAGCAGTGGCTTCGCTGGTTCCCCACAATCTACCAGCTGTTTAACAAGGAAATTCTGGCCACAACAGAAGTCACCACACCTCTTTCCATTTAAAATTTTAGAACTGAAGTCACTTGAAATGGCTTGAAGCACTCATGCAGACGTTTGATAAGATAAAAATAAAGAAGCCCATAGATATTTGGAGTATACTTTATTCAAAGCATTTCACACATTAAAATTATACTGAGTCCAAATACACGTATATTAAAAAAATACTATACTTTCCAAAAGTCTATGATGACATGTTAGAATCAGATGTTTGCTTCTGATTGGAGTCTAAATGTAATATAGAGAGCTGCTAAGTTTTATCTGCTATTTTTATTATTTCAATTAAGCTATTTTAGAAAGCATCTGGAATATGCAATTATTATACTTTAAGTATTTACATGCAAAAGGGAAACCAATACAGTGCTAAGGATATTTGGCTGCAGTCTGTTGTTAACACTTATTTCAGTGCTCCTATCTGCTTTGAGAGTGCTAGGCAAGAGGGTTTATCTATTTCCTGTGCCAGATCCATACTTTACCAGAACTGGCTGGGCATCCTTGCATGCACATGAGATTTGCATGCATGTTCAGTTTCCCCCAAGATGATTGTGAAGTTCAGATTATGCCCCACGGTGACGCCTCACCTTACAGACCTATTTCAATGTCAATTAAACTTGGTCCAACTAACATGTGGTTAGCAGGACTGCAAATAAGGCCTCAGGGAACCACTAAAGACAGGTGCACAGGGGTGAGACTCCTGAATCAGCAGACAACAGCAGAACTCTAACACGTACAGGTCTTGCACCTGAAGAGCTGCACTATGTACTCGGCTCTGGGACTCAGCAGTGGCCGAGCCCCCTGCTTCCGTAAGTCCAATTCCATGAAACAGCATTGAAGGAGGTGCTCGTGCAGGAGGGTGGGTCCCACAAGGCAGAAGGTTAACAGCTCGACGAGCAAGAGGCCGGTGCAGCCTCCAAGGCAAGGTCTCCCCTGATGTAAACCCTGGGAACCAAGTCAGCACTGAGGCTGGAGGAGAAGGCAGTCACCAAATTCAAACGGACTACCCCCAAGTGAGAATAATTCTCAAAACATTTTCAATGTTTTTGGTAATTAATGACTCATCCCCTAACAGGTCAATATTCCATGTTAGGACACCGTTGTAATGGTAACTGTTTTGATGACCCATCTTAAATTTTTTTTTTGGAGTAATTACTTATAGTGTAGATATCAACAGGCATGAAAGTCAATATGGGGATAACGTTTATTTCTCCAAACTGAACACAAACCAAGACTTCACCCCTTCAAACAGGAAATCACATATTTTCAGGATATGAGTATTAAGCAGCAGGCCTGCTGCAGTGTGTGGCTGTGCAGTCAAAGCATGAGGAAACACACTGCTCTGCTTCCACAAAGAGGGACATGGAAGCCACCGCGGCAGTTGGCATTGGCCAACAGCCCCTGACCAAGGGCAAGCGACAGTCTCTTGGGTCTCTGCTTCTTAGTGGAAAGTGACGAAGCATGGATGTGGTGACTCCTAGAGCCGACGCTTTACAGAATTAGAAAATCACGCAGGACTTCCCGCAGGTCAGCAGCTGTTACAGGATACGAGGCATTTGGAGCTCACTGAGCATCATTCCACCCAGCACCAACATTTTCCAGGTAAACAAAACTCACAAGCGAGCTCTAAATAAGGGAGTGACGCTTGAAGGAGATAGAGCAGGGAAACAAAAGCATCAACTGGGAGAAGAACCCTGAAATGATGCTTCACACATCAGGAACATTAAAGAAAATGCTGTGGATTTATGGCGCAGAAACTACTCCAAAAATCCAGTAAGAGTAACACTTATTGTCAACAAGATACTGAATACGCACTACAAATAAAAGTATATAAAGTAGCTTCTCATTTATTTTTCCTCTCAAATATATTCAAAAATAACATGTAGACACAGAATCACAAATATACACAAAATGAAGTCGTGCTTATTTCACGAAGGGCTTTCATTTGATTCTCTGAGCTGCTTTGCATAAAATTCAAAGCTTTCCTGTTAAGGAGAACAAAAGGGAAGGACGTTAAAGATAGTCACCGGCCAGAGGTGACGGCCCAAAACCTCAAAATCATACAGCACTACAAAAATCATAGCAATGCTGACTGGCAGCTAAGCTGGCAGGACCCGTGGCAGATGCCGCCCCTCAGCTTCAGCACTCTTCCTTGTTTTGTGAAACCACAAGTTCAAAGGCCCCACGTTCACAGCTACAGCTGGGAGCAGAAGCCTCTGCTGCATGTGTGTGCACGTGTGCACAGGTATTTACCCCTGGAATGGAAGGCGGAAGTGCTTGAAATAAACATGGTGTAGTGACTTTCAGTTCAATGACACAATCAAAAGGAATTCTACATTGTGATTTCTCTTACTGAAGAAAACAAAATTTCCTAGATGAGGAAATAAAAACCAACTCACTTAAAGTGAACATGTAATTAACAGTGACATAATATGCCTGACCACTGAAATTTGGGCCACGGAATCCTATTGCAAGGTGACGTGATGAGAGAAGCACCCAAGGACATCTGATGAGCTCATACTGCAGGTCTGAGGCGGCCCTTGTACTTCAAAACTCAGCCCCAGGGAGCGCAGCTCCCCCAGCACAGCCAAGGCAGGCGGCGCAGTCCCTCGGGCCCTCCCCTGCGTGTTCCGCACAGAAATCTAATCCTCATGTAATTAAGTCTCCAACCCACTCTTTAACATACTGTTATGAAGCGGACATAAATCTGTAGGGGTATATTCCCCCTTAATTAAGAAATACTCACAGGGGGCTCAGTGAAGGGGACGGACTCCCCAGCGTTCTTCAGCAGAAGCGCGTAACGCTTGAGAAACAGATCATTCAAGCTGACGTTCTTCGCAGTCAAGTGTTCATACAGTGCTTTAGCAGATGTGACATCTTTGTCCAAGACTGACAAAGTTAAAGAAGAAAATGTTAACCACAGATAAGGCAATCTATCTTCCTCTTTCAGCAAAACACCTAGCCACACAGGGACTTGTGGATCCCTTTGTCCCATGACAAATGACCACTTAACTACCTTAGGTAGGAAGCCACATTCAGAATTTACAAAGCCCTTCGCTCCTTCTCCACACCTTTCATTCAGCATCACTCACTTTGAAGAAGAAAAATGACACATATAGCTATATTTAAAGGCCTTCAGAACAATACTAAATGGTACCATGCATTTAAGTTATTACATTATTTTGAAGAGTATGACAGCTAAAGTGACCACCACTAACTGAAGTCCTAAATCATAAAATTCACACACACAACCCATTCAAGTTTCTTCTGTTTGTTTATATGTGTATGTATTTACTGTAGAGACGAAGTCTCGCCATGTTGTTCAGGCTGGTCCCGAACCCCTGAGTAAGGCTATCCTCTCGCCCCTGCCTCTCAAAGTGCTGGGATTATAGGCATGAGCCACCGGGCCCAGCCTAGATTCTCCTATTTAAAGCCACACTTATAATCCGGGGCCTGTTGTGGCAAGAGACATACAAATTACATGGATATCTACACCAATATCATCAGCTCGGCAACATCAGAAGGACTCTATATGGAGAAGATAGTTAACTACAATGGCCAAAAAACAAAACAAACAAACAAAAAATCCAATAAGGAGATAGTAACAATTTATACAAATATTTCACTTAAATGAATGACAAAATAGCTTAGGAGCTAAGTTGAGCTGGCACTTCTGGTTGATTTGCAGAAATTTTGGTTTTTTAGTGTACTGTCATGATTATCAGGCCTCTGCTAGCAATTACTGCTGGTAACTCAATCCTTTAACCACCCCCTACCCTCCACCAGTGCTGTGCAACCAATCTCAAGTCTAGCAGCACCATGGGGAACCCCTAGGTGGGTGACTCACCAGCTTCGTTGAGCTAGAGCAGATCTTGCCGGTTTCCTGTGTGAATCCTTAGCTGCCCTCCCTAAGCGTCTGAACCCATCCTGACTACCGTCAAGGGCTCAAGCTCAACCTTTTTCTCAGAAGTTGCTCAGAGGACTCCAGAATCCTGCCTTTCTTTACTTCCTGATCGCCTGTCCTCATCCTCCAAGTTGAACTACTGAATGCAGTAGCAACACAGTTTTACGTGTTGACACTATTCCATGTCACAGACATGTCTCGGCTCTAATGTGCTTCGCAGATACTGTGTTTTTTACAAACCAAAGGTTTGTGACAACCCTGCCTCAACTGAGGCCACTGTCATTTTCCCAATAGCATGTGCTCACTTCATGTCTCTGTGTCACATTCTGATAATTTTCACAAAATTTCAAACCTTTTCATTGTTATTATATCTGTTATGGTGACCTGTGACCTTCAATGTTACAATTGTGACTTCTGGGGTGCCAGGAGCTACATCCACATAAAATGGCAGACTTAACTGAGAAATGGTGGGGGTTCTAACTGTTCCACCAATCGGCCAGTCCCCCATCCCTGTCCCTCTCCTCGGGCCTATTCTGAGATATAATGATGTTGAAATTAGTCCAGTTGGTAACCCTGCAGCGGCCTCGAAGTGTTCAAGTGAAAAGAAGAGTCGCATGTCTCTCATTTTAAATCAAAAGCTAGAAATGATGAAGCTTAGAGAGAAAGGCACATAGGAAATGCACAGGCCAGAAATCAGGCAGGCCTCCTGTACCACACTGCCAGCCAAGATGTGAATGCAGGGAAAACGTTCTTGAAGGAAAGTAAAAAAGTATTACTCCAGTTAACACACAAATGATAAGAAACTGAAACAGTTTTACTGCTGATACGGAGAATGCTTTAAGTCTGGAAGTCTGGAGGGAAGATCAAACCAGCAACAATACTGACTCAAGTCAAAGTCAAACCCAGTGCAAGGCCCTAACTCTCCTCAATTCTATGAAAGCTGAGAGGTAAGGAAGCTGCGGAAGGAAAGTCTGAAGCTAGCAGAGGTTCGTTCAAGAGGTTCAAGGGAAGACGCCGTCTTCCCTAAAAAAGAAAGTCCAAGGTGAGGGAGCACTTGCTGATGAAGAAGCTGCAGCAAGTTAACCAGAAGACCTAGGTGAGCTCATTGAAGGTGGTTACATTAAACAGCTTAATGCAGATGAAACAGTCTTATTTTGGAGGAAGATACCATCCAGGACTTTCATACCTCAAAAGAAGTCAATGCCTGGCTTCAAAGCTTCAAAGGACAAGCCAACCCTCTTGTTGGGGGATAATACAGCTAAGACAAGGCTCGTTTGCCATTCTGAAAATCCTAGGAGCCTTAAGAATTATGCTAACTCTACTCTGGCTATGCTCTGTTGAGGGAACAAGAAAGCCTGAATGAAAGCACATCTGTTTACTCAATAATTTAGGCTCACTGTTGAGACCTTCTGCTCAGAAAATAAACTCCTTTTAAAATGTTATTTCTCACTGACAATGTACCACCGCCCAAGAGCTGTACAAGGAGATGAATGCTGTTTCCATGTATGCTACTACAACATCCATTCTGCAGCCCATGGGCCAAGGGGTTAGTCTGACTTTCAAGCTTATTACTTAAGAACTGTGTCTTAAGGCTGTAGTTGGCACATACAGTGCTTCCTCTCATGAGCTGGGCAAAGTATCCTGAAATCCTTCTGGAAAGGTTTCACTATTCTACATGTCATTAAGAACATCCATGATTCATGGGAGGACAACAAAACATTAACACTAACAGGAGCTTGGAAGAAGTTGGTTCCAACCTTTATGGATGGTTTTGAGGGGTGCAAGACTTCTGTATAACTGCAGGAGTGACTGCAGATCTGGTGGAAACTGCAAGGTAATTAGAATGATAAGTGGAGCCTTAAGATGGGACTGAAGTGCTCCAGTCTCAAGATGAAGTGTGAATGGATGGGGAGCTACTTCTTATGGGCGAGAAAGAAAGTGGCTTCTTGAGATGGAGGTAACTCCTGGTGAAGATGCTGTGAACACTGTTGAGATGCCAACAAAGGATTTAGATTATTACATACACTAGTTGATAATTTTGAAGAAGTTCAATTGTGGGTAAGATGCTAACCGACAGCATCAAGTGTTACAGCAAAATCTTTTACGAAAAGAAGAGGCCATCAATGTGGCAAACATCACTGTTGTCTTTTTCCCCAGCAAAAAGATTCTAACTCACTGAAGGCTCAGACAATTGTTAGCATTTTTCAGAAATAAAGTATCTTTTAATTAAGGTATGCCATTTTTTAAAAGACATAATGCTATTGTACACTTAACAGACTACAGTATAGTGCGAATATAACTTTTAGATATACTGGGAACCCCCCCCCCCAAAAAAAAATCCCTGTGACTCACTTAATTCATTATATTTGCTCTACTGTGATGGTTCAGAACTGAACTCACAGTATCTCGGAGGTACACTTATATTTTGATATTGCAAATGTGACTTCTATGATTATATTTCTATTTTGAAATACAGTATGTTCCCCCTCATAAGGGTAAAAAATCGAGAACCAGTTTATTATGATTCACGAGCCTGCTGTCCTGCCAAAAATAAAATCAACTAAGCAATTCTTTGTTTGCCTCATGCTTCCAGTGAGCAAATTCGTGGGTGGCAGATAGGCGATCATGACTTAGAAAAGGCAACGTTCATCTTGATTACTGGCTTCCTTTCATATACGATTGTCAAGGCACAAGCTAGTTAAAAGACATATTTCAACTGGGACTTAAGGTAAAACCTTGAGCTACTTTTTTTTTTTGAGTTGGAGTCTCTCTCTGTTGCCCAGACTCGAGTGCAGTGGCTGCTCCCAGCCACCACAGTCTCGACCTGCTGAGCTCCGGTGATCCTTCCGCTTCAGCCTTCCAAGTAGCCGGAACTACAGGCACGCACTACCATGCCCGGCCGATTTTTTGATTTATTGTAGAGATGAGGTCTCGCCAAGTTGCCCAGGCGGGTCTTGAACCCGAGGGCTCAGGCAATCCACTCACCTCAGCCTCCCAAAGGCGCGGGATTACAGGCTGAGCCACTGAGCCCGGCTTTTGCACTACTTTTTAATCAAGGGCCTGTCACTTCAAAGGAGTAGGCAGGCAGGCAGGCAGAGAGTACCGAAGGAAGAAGAAGGCAAGTTAAACGACAGTCTTTTTTTTTTTTGAGTTGTAGTCTCACTCTGTCACCCAGGCTGGAGGGCAGTGGCAGGCTCCTGGCCACCACAGACTCAACCTGCTGGGCTCAGGTGATCCTTCTGCCTCAGCCTCTCAAGTAGCTGGAACTACAGGCACGTGCCACCATGCCCAGCTAATTATTTGATTTATTGTAGAGATGAGGTCTTGCCAAGTTGCCCAGGATGGTCTCGAACCTGCAGGCTCAGGCAATCCTCTCACCTCGGCCTCCCAAAGTGCTGGGATTATGGGTGTGAGCCACTGTGCCTAGCCTAAATGAGTCTTAAATGAGCACCTGTGTCAAGCTACATGTCAGGTGGCAGACCGTGGGGGAACTCAATCAGTTGCCAACACATAAGTCCAAGAAGAATTCCAGGTCTTTCCAGGAGCCTGCGATCCTACTCAATACAATACTTAGACTGCTCTGAAGATGCTAAGGGATATTTTTAATGTTAAACTTTGAGGAATACTTTCATATTTTTCTCATACATAGTTCTAAAATATGTTTTAGAACTAAGTGAATCATTTATATCGTTAAGTAATTATCTAATATTTAGTATTACGTTGAGCTGTTGGCTATACCACAAACATTAAAAACATGTAAATATAGTTAGCGTAAATGTATTACCATAGCTTTTCATGAGGGAGGCATATGCTGTTTCCTGATCACGTAACTCAGGAATCAATTCCAACAAAGAGTGCAGAGTTGGTATCTAGGAAATTACAGGTAACATTATCAAAATCTCAAAATAACAATGAAACAGGACACTGATATATCAAAATTATATTTGAAATAAATACCACAGAACTGTCTATTCAATTTAATGGACAAAATATTTTCCCTTCTGGAAATCTTAGCATTTGATGTTGATTCAATAATTTACAGTCAAAACAAAGCAGTCCTTTTCACAAATTAATGCAATTCCACGTACATTTCTTTCTCTTTTCGGGGGGTGGGGGGCGGTGGTTAGCATCTCACTCTGTTGCCTAGGCTAGAGTGCAGTGGCATGCATGCTCATGGCCACCCTAGCGTGGACCTGCTGAGTTCCGGCGATCCTACCGCCTCAGCCTTCCAAGTAGCTGGAACTACCATGCCTGGCTTAATTTCTGATTTATTGTAGAGATGAGGTCTCGTCAAGTTGCCCAGGCTGGTCTTAGACCTGTAGGCTCAGGCAATCTACTTGCCTCAGCCTCCCAAAGTGCCGGGATTATAGGACGAAACACCGAGTCTGGCCCCATGTACATTTCTAAAAATAGTTTTCTAGCATATGATAAAGATTGCTTCTTTTGTCAACTGGTAACCATACCAGGAAGTCTTGAAATCCTAAGGGCGTATCTTTAGGTACCAAAATGAGGAAATGGTGAAGAATTCAGTTGAATATATATTTTTTTGAGTTGGAGTCTCACTCTGTCGCCCAGACTGGAGTGCAGTGACCGCTCCCAGTCACCGCAGCCTCGACCTGCTGGGCTCCGGCGATCCTTCCGCCTCAGCCTTCCCAGTAGCCGGAATTATAGGCATACGCTACCACGCCCGGCTGATTTTTTGATTTATTGTAGAGATGAGGTCTTGCTGCCCAGGCGGGTCTCGAACCCACGGGCTCAGGCAATCCATTCACTTCAGCCTCCCAAAGGCGCGGGATTACAGACTGAGCCACCGAGCCCGGCTCAGTTGAATATTTTAAAGTGCTTCCCACTTGATATATAACATAGACTGTTCCAGTATCTCACTGAAATTTTACTTGGTTGCTTAGAGGGCTATGTACCCACAGTTCTATTTCCTTCAGTTAATATAAAACTGCCACCCTAATGAATATCCACTGAATCCTTCCAAACCCACTCCAACAATGCTGGATGAACTGATGGATCTATGTATGTTTATGCCTCCTCCCACCTCACAAAAAGTGAGATCTGGCTTAGCGCTTCACTAACAAACAATGGAACATGGTAGCCAGCATTTAAAAATCCAAACTCTCAGTTGGGCACCGTGGTACAAGCCTGTAATCCCAGCACTTTGGGAGACTGAGGCAAGAGGACTGCCTGAGCTCAGGGGTTCGAGACCAGCCTAGTCAACTTGGTGACACCTCGTCTTTACAATTAAAGAAAAAAAGTAAGCTGGGTGTGGTGGTGTGTGCCTGTGGTTCTAGCTACTTGGAAGGCTGAGGTGAAAGGATCACCTGAGCCCAGCAGGTGGAGGCTGTGGTGGCTGTGAGCGTGCCACTGCACTCCAGCCTGGGCAACAGAGTGAGACTCCAACTCAAAAAAAAAAAAAAAAAAAAAATCCAAACTCCTTTCTTGGCATCTTGTTTAGTTGACTTACACCTAGGCCTGCATCCTTCCAGGACTTCTGGCAGGTTGAAGTCTCCTGGGAGGAATGTTTTAAGCAGATATTTCACTGTACATTTCCTGTCCTATCGCCTGGGCAAGGCAGTAGGAACTAGGCACAGTCCCACATGTGGACTGGCATGTGCCTTTTCTATTTCTTGTACTTTTTAATCACAAACTTAAAACAAACCCTCTTTGAAAGGAAAAAGAAAGGGCAAACAAATGTTTCTCAAAGTTGTTTGTAAGTAAATGCAGGAGTCAGAGATAAAAGGTGCAATTAAACAAATTTTTTAAAAGTGTGACTCTATATGCAGGGGAAATGTGTGGAAATTAAGGAAAACTACATCTCCCAGACTGGAAACAATAACTCAAATGTTTCAAATAAAACAAGCGCTGCAGTAGCACTTGGTCTGAACTTCATAAAGAACCTAAATAAAAAATGTAGTTTCTGGGGCTCAACAGGTAAAGTCAGATCTAAAAAAAAAATTTTTGAAACATGTTTTTATTTTTTGGTTAAATATCAAAAACAGGATTTGCTTCTGTTACACACTCACCACCCCTTTTATAAGTGTAAATAAGGTAACTGTACAAATAAGAACATCAGTTTGTGGCTCATACCAGTTTTAAAGCCAAATGGCTCATCCACCTGATGGATTATACCTGAGAAATGGTCAAAGTAGCCACACGGAGGGAGATACTCTGTAGTGCTGATCACCTGTGTCGGAAATGCATTGTTAAATGTACCAATGTGGCCCAAGTAGCATGATTTTCTTCAGGCCCTTTCTTGGGGCTCTCAATGCATAACTATAAGTAGAAAAGTCACTGCATGAATTTGCATTTCCAATACAACTAAGAAGCCAAAATGGACTCTATCAACATCCTATAAAAATAAACAAGTAGGTTGGGTGGGGTGGCTCAAGCCTGTAATCCCAGCACTTTGGGAGTCCAAGATGAGAGGACTGCTCGAGTCCAGGGAATTGAGACCAGCCTGGGCAACTTGGTAAGACCTCAAATCTCTACAATAAATCAAAATAATTAGCGAGGCATGGTGGTGAGTGCCTGCAATTCCAGCTACTTGGAAGGCTGAGGTGGAAGCATCGTCGGAGCCCAGCAGTTTGAGGCTGTAGTGGCCATGAGCGTGCCACCGTACCTCAGCCTGGGCAACAGAGTGAGACTCCAAATAAAAACAAACAAATAAAAAGGAAACAAGTATAGGCCAGGTGCAGTGGCTCACTCTGTCATCCCAACTCTTTAGGAGGCTAGGGTGAAAGCCTTGCTTGAGGTCAGAAGTTCGAGACTAGCCTGGGCAACACAGTGAGACCCCCATTGCTATAAAAAACAATGAAAAAAATTTAGCTGGGCATGGTGGCACGAGCCTATAGTCCAGCAACTCAGAAGACTGAGGTGGGAAGATTGCTTGAGCCCAGTAATCTGAGACTGCAGTGGGCAGTGATCACGCCACTGCACTCCAGCTGGGGTAAGTGAGAACTTACCTGTTTAAAAAAAGAAAGCGGAAAAAAGGAAAGTGTAGACAAGAGAAATCTTTACTCTGTCATATTTTCAAATAAGGTCCTGAACCAATAAGCTCTTATGTTAAACTCAATCCCTTTGAGCAAGATGTTTACAGCATCACAGATTCGTTAGTAAGTAAAGCACAGTACCTTTCCTGGCTTCCGAGAATTTCTAACAAAGAACACCACCAAAATTGAGGTTTGTTCAGCAATGGCACCACATCTCTAAAAATTAAAACATTACTCAGTAAGTGAAGGTTTTCGATAAACAAGCAGATCAAGGTGAATATTTTCAATTAAGAAAGTTCACAATAATATACTGATGTATTATTAACAACAGGAACGCCTAATAGTCGACCACCATTTTTTAAGCCAAGAAAAAAGACAAGTGCCAGCTATGCCAATCTCTGGCCAGTGCTGTCCTTGGCATTGCAAGTACAAAGTTTGTTTAAAAAGACAAGGGAAAAATTAAACTAATGCTTCAACAACCACTGAATAAGGTTTAGGACTGCAAAGAAAGAGGGAAAAAAAGAAACACTATTCCTCTCCAATTATACTGCCAAGCATTCACAAGTGAGCTAGAGATCATAAGGTTAATTATACATTTAATAAGGTGTCAGGGAGATAACTGCTCGTTTCTTTATAAAAATTAAAATGTACAAAGCAAGTTCTCTTTAAAGTATAATTACCTACACTTATGCATACAAAAGGACTGATTTCAATCTCTCTATTTTATAAAAGGCTTTCATTGCAACAGACAGCCAGCGCTTGAGAAAGAGACAAAAGTTAAACTCAAAAAAAAAAGTTTATATGACAGACCAGATAAATCAAGTGTCTATCCAATCTTAGATGCTATAGTAAAATCAAATATGGCAAGACAATATTTTAGTTTACATTCATCATAGATGTCATTCTCTTAAGTTTCTAAAAGCACATTGCTCTTTCAAAGCTTTAAAACATTGTCAATACTAAAATGAACAGTATAAAAGGAATTTTGGGGGACACAGAACATCATAAACGGATGTTTTTTGACATCTGTGAATAAAGTATTCCTCACTACAGCAAGAATTGCCTTTTACCGTTTGACAACAGTAAAAGGTAAGGGATGGGTGAAGGGTTTATCATCCGAAACCCTCTGTACTGGAGGGATAGCAAACAAACAGACCACTGCTGTTGCATCAACACCCAGGTGGCATCAGAACCCACCACTCCTGCCATCTCCCACCCACGCCACTGGTGCTCGCTAAGAAAAGCCTTGACGATTATGGCTCAGAACACACTGGCAGGTAAAGTACCAGGGTTCCCTTTGTAAACAACTATCAACAGGATGTGTTGAAACTGAACGGATACCATCACAAGGATAAGCACATTCATATGCTTTATCCTCTAAGGGTTTCTTAGATAGATATACATGATGATAAAGCTAGGGTATATTCCCTTCAAGACAGAACGTGTAACATGAAAGATAAAACAAGAAACAAACCCTGAAAACCCTATCATATATTGCCTTTTCTTTTAAAACAAAAACAAACGGAGCAAAAGGTAAACAAACCAAACAAAACAAGAAAATTCCTAATCAACTGGAATCTCTCTCCTTCCAGGAACAAAAGCAAAATTCCCAGAAGCAGAAACTGTTGGTGCAGAGAACATCTTTCAGGAATTCGTTTTTAAAATGACTTGGATTCTACTGCCAAACTAGATGAGCTTTAAGGATCAAAACTGGAGCTCAAGCAAATGGGTACAGTCTTACCTTCCCTCTTGACTACTTAGGATATCTCACAGCTGGTAAAAAGGTTAAGTGAATATAATACTGTTTACCATCAGCAATTGGTCCCAGGCCTCAATATGACACAGGGAGTCGACACAAACACAGCCGCTGGTGGGATCACGGTGACTGTTTGACTGCCACCTGCTGGGAAGGGGCTCCCCGGCGGTGCCTGTTTGTGTACACTGCCAGTGGCAGCTCTGATCACCCACCGCTCCTGGCGTAGCTTTATATTTAGTGCAGTTAAAATGGCATGAATGCAGTTGTCTCCTTCCCTGAAGATTGCTAATTTAACTGAGAGTGCGGGTCACAGAGACCTGCATTTGTCATTTAATGTGTCTGTGACACACAAGTGAATAGAAAGCAAATTCAACTCTTAATAAACCTTGAATAAGGCACTGGGAATGTTTGAGTATTCGAGTGAGAAGCTGCAGTTGAAAAGCAAACATTTCCTACTTTTTGTTTGCAAACTGTGTTGCCATGGCAATGCACAGTATTGAAAGCATTTGAGAAATTAAAGTAGGAAATCAAAGGAATTGTTGTTGTTCTGCGTTACCTATCAGCACAGAAACATTTGTCTTTAAATCATTTCGGCAGAACCAGTCTCCCAGTCCCCTTAAATTAATTCTAAGGACAGTTTCTAATCTGATCTGGCATCTTTAAAACCAGCAACCTACAATCCGATCCTTGTCACACAGTCAGATTCACACTGAATTTAAATATGCTGGAGGTCTACCACACCTCATTTCCGGTATTCCACCACATACCTAAGTCTAGTCATTTCTCAGTTCACGTCTCACAAGCTGTAAGCCCACTGCTCCATAATGGAGGTCATTACCTGTAGGAGGGCTCTGGCATCATCCACCTTACCGGCGTCCACAAGCTGAAGGAAAAAATCAGTGACAGGCTTGTAAACTGCAAACTGATTGGCCAATCTCTCTGCCATGATGCTTACTAGAAAAACAACAGGTAAGAAAACAAATCTTTTGTTAAAACAGTGGTATAACTCATCCACCAAAGAAATTTGGTCCAGTCTCAGAGAATATGTGCTACTGTGTTCTTTAGCATAAACAACAAACTTACTCTTTTCAACTGCTGGGTCCAGCTGCTCCTCTATTATTTTTCTGAATAAGTATGCCAAGCCAAAGTATTGGGGTTCCACATTTTGATTCCCTGAAGTAAGCATGCTTTCAATGTTTTCTACTGCAACATCTATGTTATTGCTATTTTAAAAAAGCAAAGTCATAAATATTTGCTTTCATATTAATACTGCAGACAGTTTTAATATTAGAACTTAGATCCACTCATGCAAATACTTTATGAAAAACAGGAAAAACATTTACAAATAACCATATGAAAAACACTATGCAACTTAGACCCAATCACATTTAGGTCACAAAAACAAACAATTACTAGACAATTCATGCTACAATGGTTGTTTATCTTATTCTGCAGCAGTTAAAAATAGTTGCTTATTTTAACACTGCTCTAGAGAGATCAAACAACTAAATATAGGAGAGTCAATACAGATAACTTAAAAAACACTGTCTCTTAAATATTTAATTTAATTTTGCTGTTCTTCAGATATACAATGGAAACTTGCTTAAATGCTATACTTTTGGCTTTATAATACACAACTGGTCACCACTGCATAAATTAAAGATGTAGTACAGAACATCTTAGGATCCTTAAAAATGCTGATGATGTCTTCAAAGAGCATATATGCATGTTTCTAACCCAGTCACATCAATTTCTTTTTTGTCAGGTACTATATATATTTGAAAATACTAAATTTATACTAACATTCTCAGAGAAATCATCGTCATATGTTACACTGGAAAAAAAATAAATTACATAGCCTTATTTAACGAAGTTATAATACTTTATGACTACCATTTTGGTAATCTATAATTGATACTTTACGGTTATAACATGGAACTCAAACTAATAAATATTATGTTAAGATTATATTAAGCAAAATAATTCCTCAACCAAAAATGAACTTGTTACAATAAATTTTTTATGGGTTTTGGATAATTATTTAATAGTGAATAAGAACATGATCTCCACATCATATAAAACTATTTATGTGATAACACTTAAAAATTCATCCAGCTATTATATAAATAATTTCCTCAATCTTCTAATTTAAAACAATCACATTTTCTTACTAAAGGGAATTCCTATTTGGGGAAACAAAGGGTAAAAACGAAACACAACTGTGTTTCTCTGCTAAAGGAAATAGGAACAATTTAAAAACTCTGCAGAAACAAACATTATATTTTAACGTCATGTTGTATTAGGTATATGTAAGACTAACTACTAAAGAACATTTTTCCCTAAAGGCATTAAGAGTGTCAAATACCATACTTATCCCCATCAATCTTTAACTTGAGCCAAGTGAGGTTAATGAAAATCTAGCTCTGATACTTCCACAGTGCTGATTCTCATGAGGCAGCCAGCGATGACAGTAAGACAATCAGCTCTTGAGGCTCCCTCGTGTGTGGGGGGGTGTGCTGATGGGATGGGTTGGGTGGAAGGGCGAGGAAGACGAAAACGTGTATTTCTAACAAGCCTGCACACCCGTTTCACAGAGTACTAGTACAGCATCACTCTCTAATACTGCTGACAAACAAGTGAGATAATTCTCCACTTTCATAACAAAGTGTTTCGACAACAAGAGGCCTGGCGAGTACATGTGTGAAAGAGAAAAGTCAGCAACTGTGAAGCAAGTTTTATGAATTTGTTAAGTGTTATTTATTCTATGATTTAATCTGAAGACAAAACACATTTTTCAATATATAATTATTCCCTAATAAGGAATAATCGGAAACTAGCATCAGCATTTTCCTCTACAGTTGACATGGTTTCCAAATGCATAAGAAAGTTTATAAAAAGTGGTATTTGAGGTAATGCTCATTCCAGTGGCCAATGAGAGAAAAGAAAGCTTGAAAATACTCACTTCTTTATTTGTGCCAAAGCAATGTTATTGATGAAAACCATACGTGAAAGTCCAATGGAGTCTTCCAGCCCATGTACCATCTTCTGAATGGTTTCTATGCTTTGCACATCACCCTTCAGGGCACACGCCTGGATGAGACGTGTCACAGCTATCCTGAAAGGGACCTGGTGCAGATCCAAGGCTGTTTTTAATGTTGTCAGAGCCTCTAAAATAGAAGAGCAGAGGACAGGGTTTTTCTTATATGACCTTTGTTGACTTCAATGCATTTTGAAAACCAGCTTTTAAATATGGGCACCAAATGGCTATATACAAAAATCTATGAATAATTAATTCTAGATTACAGAAAATATTAATACTTTATGAGAAATCTAAAAATGTGATTTATTTGACTATATAAGATACTAGAGCCCAGAGAAATCTCTTCAAGTCACAGAGAAAATATAAATGTTACTGACAATATGAGTTCCATTCAGGGATAACGTTTAGTGACTATTTCATAAAAGCTTGACAAACTCAGATCGGGCGTGGTGGCTCACATCTGTAATCCCAGTACTTTGGGAGGGTGAAGCGAAAAGGTTACCTGAGCCCAGGGGTTCAAGACCAGCCTGGGCAACTTGGCGAGACCTCGTCTTTACAATAAACTTTTAAAAAATAGCTGAGTGTGGTACTGCGTGCCTGTGGTTCCAGCTACTTGGAAGGCTGAGGCAGAAGGCTTGCCTGAGCCCAGCATATTGAGGCTGTAGTGACCATGAGCATGCTTCTGTACCAGCCTGAGCGACAGAGTGAGACTCTGACTCAAAACAAACAAACAACAAAAAGTTGGTAAGTTCAAAGGAACAGAAATAATGAAGAATTTTTAAAATTAAAGAATTTGCCCAAACTTGTAACTTCTACCTACAGTCATGCTTTCACATATTTTATTAACTCAAAGATTACATGATTACCAAAAACATTTACTATCCCAATACTTCTTTCTTGAACACAATATGTCTCTCTAGTCCAAACAGGATCACACAGGAGTAGCCAAACTGGAACATGCATCTTTCACAGTTACACATTTATTTTTATGACTAGATGCCGTGTGGTTATTTTCTTGTACTAATTTTTCACAGAAAATAAAGCCCATCGATTCCCATGAATACACATAGTCCCTGACTTACAATGGTTCAACTTATGATTGTTAGACTTTACATGGGTTTCTGGGGTAGTAAATGTATTTCTAACTTATGGTGAGTTTATAAGGAAGCAGCTCCATTGTAAGTTAAGAAATATCTGTATAACCAATGTTTGCTTTTTAAAGCATCATACTTACATGTACTTAATTATGATCGCCTATGGAATATCCTTCTAATATACAAACTCACATACAAGTGCAACGAAATCTTTATATTAAATAAAATGGTAGGTTGCAGAGGCAGTGCTAATACTTAGGATAACAATCACTCCTACCACCATCAGAGAAAACTCCATGGCTTTATAGCAATTAAAGCAATGTAGCCTAGACAAAACTAGACTCTCAAAACAGTTTTCCAAATAAGAACAGCCTATCTGAAAAATGAAGAAGCAAAAATGTGTTTTATACTATTTAAAAAATATAACCTACAGAAAATAAGCTTGATAACATCTTAACTGGAGGGCATATACAGATATTTAACTTGTAATAATAGTCTCATTAGTCACAAATATTGTCAGCTAGGAGGATCTTCTCACCAATGAATCAACATAGTAACAGCAAAAATAAGGTTACTGATGGGTGACAATGGTTACTCAAACTCATCAGGTGCTTACCACATTTATTGAGCATTTATTATATATCTCAGGCAAAGCACTAAGCAGCTACACTGAAAATTACACTTCTGAGGTAAGGACCAGTTTTATAGAGTTTTATAGAAACACAGAGGCAGAGTTTAAATAAACTGCCTAGCATTAAGGTCATATCATTAGACCAAAACCCAAGGGTCTAATTGTCCCAAAGCCTCATCTGTGGGTGCCTGTATGCATGAGATAGAGAGTGAGGAGAACAGATCAATTTATGTCTATTCAAAGGTAGCCTGGGATCTTGACCTAAATCATCTCATACAGGGCTTGCTTTCTGTGCAGTTAATGACTGAAGGGACACCAAAAATGTTACCCATCTGCACGCCTCCCCACCCACCAAGTCCTTTCCCACTGTCACCCAATGCCAACATTTACTCAATTACTCACTAGCGATACTGACTATATCATTCAGGTGCCATGCATCAGTTATTAATAAGCTACAACACTATTAGCTTACAGAATTCCATTAAGATTTCATTGGCCTTTTTTTCTCTTCCTGCTTTAATGGGGTTGAGAAAAAGAAATCTAAAAGAGAGAAGGGCAGAAGGACAGAAGGGAATTTTAAAGATCAGGAGCTCTGTAAGGAGATGGGACTAGGCGAACACCATTCCCATCCTCACTGGTGACCACGGCTCCTAGTGTCAGACAACATGCAGTTGAGCTGAATAGCTGAGAAGAGTAGACTAGAAATTACATCATGTACTTTCATGCAGTTTACAAAGGGCACCTAACACACAAGTAAAGGGTGCCACTCAAGTTAAACAAATTCAGGTCAGATTGAGCTCAAAAATGAACTCCCTGAATTTAAAAAAGGTGCTTTGCTCTTATCTCTGTAATAACAGAAACATAAGCTACTTATGACAATGTGCTTAACATGGGGAGCAAGTTTAACTTTTCATTGTTTTAAAACTGTTTGCCGAGTGTGGTGACTCATGCCTATAAACCCAACACTTTGGGAGGCCCAGACAGGAGGACTGCTTTAAGCCATGAGTTTGAGAACAGCCTGGGCAACATAGCAAGACCTCGTCTCTACAAAAAAAATTAAAATTAAAATTAAAAAAAAAAAAAATTAGCCAGCATGGTGACAGGCGCTTGTAGTCCCAAACACTTGGGAGGCTGAGGCAGAAGGACTGCCTGAGCCCAGGAGGTTGAGGTTGCGGTGAGCCATAATTGTGTCACTGCACTCCACCCTGGGCAACAGAGTGAGACCCCTGAGTTAAAAATAATAATAAAAATTGTTTATCATTTTACTACATTAACAACTTGGTGAAAAGTCTTTTCTATTGAAAATAAAACAAAAGATTTTAAAGTTTTAACAAGTCCTACACCACTCAATTACCACTTAAGGCTGTCCAAAAGGACTGTTGAGCTGGGTGAGCCCTACCTGCGGAATGCTGGGTTGGAAATTTTGCAAAAGGAGAGAAATCACCACTTCCACATTCAGTCCTAATCAATTAGGAGGTACCAGCATGTTGAGGTTCTGTAGGCAACACTAAAGTTGCGCAATTGGACAGCAACTTCCTCTCAGGGATTTGAAATTATTTTATAAACATGCACATGAGGAATAACACCATTACAGACCGAGGAAGCAACGAGGTAACATATTTAATACTTAAAGAGCTTTTACAACCTTCCTTAAAGGTTTCCTAAGTGGGTTTTGTTGTGCTGGCAAAACTGCAGTATTACTCTACTATCTAAAATGCACATGTAAAACTTAACGTGAAAAGCTACTTACCGAAATTTGAGAGATTCATCACTTTCCCCTTGGGAGCTCACTCGTATAAGCCCTCCAGACAAACCCAGCCCCCTACTGTAAACCCATCAACAGCCTCCCCGAAACCAAGGGGCACCTCCCCAATCCTCCCAAAGGCATCTCCACATGCCCCGGTGTTATCCTCATCACATTAATTTTAAAACTCTAAACTTCAAACAAACACAGTATTTTATTGCTATTGGTATTATGAACTATTAAAAAAGTATTAGATTAAGTTTTAAAAATCAATATTATAATCATTCGGTGCACAATCCCACACATTTAACACTCAATTTAACTCATTTGCTACCTCACACACAACCAACACAATATGCAAGAAACAACTGCTGGGAATTGTTTCAGATGCTCGAAAGTATGTTAATTTCCAAAGCAAAATGACTTGTGCTGTGAATTTTAACGCACTTGAAAGCCTGTACTTTCTCTCGTTCTGGAACACAAATTTTGCATGTCTGAAGAGCTGTGATTCATCTTAAGAAAACCCATCTTGTGTTAAATGGAATGGAAACTGGACTAAGTGGTCAAATGACAAGTACATTCATATTCAAGCTGTATTATAAATGCATGTACAGTAATTTACGTCTCTCAGCTACCACAAAAGGCTCTTGATAAGCAGGTAATTTGCTAAATGGACTCCTTTATCCAAGTATTCGAAGGGCGTTACAAGAAAAATCTGCAGAGGCATTAATGTGACGTAAAGGTCAAGCATTGTGACATACCTTTCAAATAATCCCGCCTAACTTGCGTTATGATGAGGAGGCTGTTGGCAGCATCGTTCAGTGTGAAGCCCTTGATGTGGGTCTCAGCGCTAAAAGAAGCAGACATTTAGAAAGGAATTACTGACATGCTTCTGATACGATAATAAATGGTTGAGCACCAAGGTGAAATTATAAAAACTACTGTTCGTATGTTAAAAATATTGCTGCAAAATATCGACCTGGAGACAGCTTTTGTGTTATCCTGTCAATGGTTATAGAAGGATAATTTTTTTTTGCATTCTGACAGATGACAAAGTTGGAAATGAGCAACAAAAGAAACAAAGTACAAGATTTTTTTTAAACAATCGGTTCAGATTCTTGAATGCTGACATATTAGATGACTAAAATAACTGCGTGCCCTGCATTGTTCTTCTGTATCCTAAGCTGGATACTTTTTCCTCTTTTTTTTACATTCACCATAATTATAAAATGCAAAACTCTTCTTCCAGCAACAAAAATGAACATTTATTTTCAGCACTGTATGTTTTAAATATAAACTAAAGCATATTACTAACACTGTATCATTTGGTTGATTAATTTTCAAATTTGTCATCTAGATACATACAGTTTTTAAAGCTGAACATACTGCAGAACCAAAACTGCTGTTACCTTAAAATTAAAAATTTTACACAACAGTCTTGTCCTAGCCTTAAATTCGAAACAACCCCCCTCCCAACTTTTTAAAACTCATGAGCAAAAAATTGCTTTACTCATCACTAAAACCTAGAGGATTAAAAAAAGTAAAACACAACAACCCAAAAACCCCAGATCTAGCTGGAGATGATTTCTGTTTGCACATCTCCTGTGATGAAATTTCAGTACCGTTAATGCCCCAGGGTTCATCTCTGGATTAGGAAATCTAAACAGGCCAAAAGGAGCAAACATAATTCTGCCATTTGCCTGCTCGAGCTCTGTGATGGCCTTGCAGTCAACAAGTGCAGCCTCCTGACGGGACACTAAGCCAAGCAGATGGGGAGGAAAGCAGAGTCACTGCGAAATTATTCTCATCAATCCCAAGAAAATCCTCCAGAGACAACATGGCATGCCCATCCTCTCAGTCACTTTCAGCCTCTAAGGTTCACCCCTGTGGTCCCCAGATGCAGGATTTTCTTATTCCCCTCCGACCAATCCTCTTAATCCCACCAAAGCACCCATTGCTCAGTTTGACTTTTTCCTTTGTTCCATCTGTCAAAGCTCTTAAGTCAACAACTCATGCATGAGACTATGCATTGCATAAAATAATGGATTTGCTTTCTCAATCTTTAGCATGATTAAATAAAAATTAGACACTATTAAAGGCTCACTTCTCATGCTCATATTATTACATGTATTATCCATATTTACTTAAAAATATTACCTGAAATCTATTAAAACCACGAGGTAACAAAACTTCTCTTTTAACTGACATTTTAAGTGTGACCTACAAACCTTTCGAAAACCTCAAAACACATAATATTCTCTTCCAATAATCTCCTCCTCTCAAGAAGTTGCCTATTCACTACAAATATAAAAGTAGAGACAAATATTAGGGAGAAAAAACTCCTGGATCTATTATATAATATATAACATATATACAGAATCTGACTGATCACAACCAAAGTATACTCCAAACTGGCAAAAGGAGAAAAATTACAAAAAGTTACTGGTAGTGATCTTTGCATTAGAATCATTCATACAATAAAATTTTAAAAAAGTATTTCTGACTCCTAATCTTGATCTTTCCTTTTAGGAAAAAATCTAGTCCAGAGTGGTCAAATCAAAACTTCCTCTAATGATGGGAATATTCTTTATTTCTGCTGTCTAACAGGATTGAGCATTAGCCACATGGCTAATCTGATGAAGGAACAGAACTCTTCATTATATTTCATTTTAACTAATTTAAATTTCAACAGTTATATATGGCTAGTGGCTATACTAAATTGTACAGTACAGAATTCTGGACATTTTCTTTTTTATTTATAGGACTGCCAAAATTATAGGAGAAAGGGGTATCAATCTATCAATTTACAACCAACTGCACAATTAATAATATTACAGGGAAAGTTTCACCTTAGACATTTCAGAGCAATGAATGGTCCACAGATTGTGCTTACATAACACACAGAGGACACTAGTTGGTGATTATGAATTATAATGTTTTGGATAAAAGAAAAACTGGCCAATTCAACAAAAACCATCAGTGACAGATTTAACATTATTTCTAGACAGAATGAAATGGAAAATAAAAAGAAAATAAAGTTTTACTCCAAAAAGATAAAGCAAGGTCATTACACACGTCTTGAATTCCCTAAGAATAGAGTTTAACCTTATCAGAGGTTTAAACAAGAATTTATAACCTTCACTACTCTGAGTAAATGGGTTTCCTCCCTTGGAAGAATTCATTATAGGTAAATCATTTTGAAACATGAGGAAACTAAAAATGAAAGAAAGTCAGTTTCTTGAAACAGTTTTAAAGGCAGCTGTTACTGTTACTTTTGAGGTTCCATGATATGTTGGGAAGGTTAAATGATCTTGTTAATAAAACTGAAGAAATCTCACCAGAGGCCAAGTGCATCTACAACACATCAGATGACAACAAAGAGAAACACAATGATTTTTAGTTCACAGGAAAACTATGGCTCTTAGTGTGAACCAGTGGCATTATGGTCATTAGTAATGGTCATACAGTAATGGTAACAACAAATAGCTACTTATAGATCCAGAGTAACTGCCAGCATAAAACTAGGAGGTACTGTCACTTGCTACAGTCACTCATTTGGCCACCATATTACAATAACGTTGCCTATCAAAAAGCAACAATTACTTGCTCTGATCATTGATACAGAGCTGGAAGGGAAACAGACATCCTAGTTTAGTGTTGGCAATAAAACAGAAACTGGATCCAGGGATCACCTTTGACATAATTAGTTGAGTTCCTAGTAACTTGAACTTCCATTCCTAAATTTCAAGTTCAAGATTATTTTCAAAAGTACCCAACATAGATTTAACCCAAGAAACAATTCTAGGTAGTTAGACACAACATTTTATTGGTTCAAAGGAAAGAGCAGCCGGGCTTGGTGGCTCAGCCTGTAATCCTGCACTTTGGGAGGCTGAGGTGAGTGGACTGCCTGAGCCTGCGGGTTCGAGACCTGCCTGGGCAACTTGGCGAGACCTCATCTCTACAATAAATCAAAAAATCAGCCGGGCGTGGTAGCGTGTGCCTGTAATTCCAGTTACTCGGAAGGCTGAGGCAGAAGGATCACCGGAGCCCAGCAGGTCGAGGCTGCAGTGACCGAGAGCGGCCACTGTACTCCAGTCTGGGCGACGAAGTGAGACTCCAACTCAAAAAAAAAAAGGAAAGAGCATGCATCCAGTGCCCAGACTGACTTAAGGCTTTGGATCTAAGATGATCTTGGGCCCACAGAGCTACATGGGGGACAGCAACTGCCAAATAGCCATGACTGGATAACATGACAGAAAAAACAATGTTCTCAAGAATACAGAAAGTCTCACTTACATGTGGAATCTGAAGTCTTAACTCAGAAGCAGAGAGTACAAGGAGTTCAGTCATGCAAGATAAAGAAGTTCTGGAGATCTATACAACATAGTGGCTGTAGATAACAATACTGTGTTGTATACTGAAAACTGCTAAGAGTGTTTATCATAAGTGTTCTTAAACACACACACAAAACCCTATAGTAATAATAATGAGGGTGGGAAGAATCCTTGGGAGAGAATGGATGTGTTTATGCCCTTGACAGTGATGATGACTCCACAGGTGTATATTTAATCCCAAACTCACAAAGATGGATACATTAAATATGTATCATTTCATATATCAATCATACCTCAGAAAGACTTCATGAAGATCTAGAGAAGAAGGGAAGAAGACAAACCTACATTTTACTGGTTGTGAATATAAGGAGAAATAGAAGGGCTATGTTTACAACTATCTTCTAGGTCAGAAGCGTTCAATTTTTTTTTTTTTTAATTGGTGTCTTACTCTGTTGCTCAGGCTGGAGTGCAGTAGCACCAATTATGGCTCTCTGCAGCCTTAACTTTCTGGGCTCAGGCGATCCTTCTGCCTCAGCCTCCTACAGGTGCATGCTCCTATATCCAGCTATCTTTGTTTGCTTTTTTTTTTGGAGAGACAAGATCTTGCTATGTTTCCTGGGCTGGTCTCAAACACCTGGGCTTAAGCAATCCTCTTGCCTCGGCATCCCAAAGTGCTAGAATGAAAGGAATGTAATTACAGGCATGAGATGCCATGCCTGGCTTCAACTGACTAAGATCCACAGTAAGACTCGAGTAGTTACAACCCAGTACTTGGATATGTACATGCACATGTAACTGCCATTTCACAAAACACTATCTTTGCTACAGGAAGTGCTTTGATATTCCTCTATTTCACTAAAAAAAAGAGCTGGTTCTGACCTACTCACTGGTTTCCACTGCACTTTGGAAACTACTCTAGATCAATGGTCTTCAATGAGAGACACCTATATGGCATACACACGCAAGGGAAGGCCAAAACAATCTTTAAAGCTCTTTCTAAAATCTTATCTTATGAACACTTTCTATTTTGCACATTTTATAATATAGTTACATGTGATACATTCAATTTGCTATTATTGTATGTGATCAAAATGTTTAAGATACAGGATTCCTGAATCACCTAGAGTACTCAGTAACTGCATTTACTGGGTCCCACACCAGACTGGCAAAATCAGAACCTTTGTGGTGGGCTATGGCAATCTCTTTATGCCACAAGTAAGGATCACTATTCTAGTATAAGCCCAATTAAAATGAAAAAAATTAAAACCTGTACTTTGGGGAATTATTTCAGAGGTCTTTGTGAATAACCACAAGATTCAATGCTTTCTGGGTTTAAAAACAAAATCTCCCTCTTTGTTTCTACCTCCTTCACTTAACCATACCTAATTCTGAACACAAAATGTACCTCATTCTTCTGTCTTCCTTGGTCCCCAATCATTGTGGCTTCAGAACACCTTTGATTATCATGGATAGGGTTGGGATAGAGACAATAATTTCCTGAGAAAAGTAATATCAGAAGATGATTCACACCCTTGACCAGGATGCTACTCAGTGTCAAATTTTTCAAGCTTTTATATAGGGCATATTGAGTATGTTAGAGACACCTAATTTAATTAGCAATTGGATAAACACAATTGAGACAGAGTATATTAAAGCCCTCTATGGTCTTAGCGTGAATGTCCCATATCCAGATACACAAATGATGATTCCAGACTATATGTGTGTGCATCTCCACACAGACAAGTAAAGCCATATAGAATACATTTTTCAATACTAAAACACAAACAGCAAATAAAGCCCTGTGGTATAAAACTTTAACAACACTAGTGTTGACGTGAGGTTTCTAGTGATGAGACAGAATGGCAAACATCCATTTCCTATTCAGGATTCTAGTATTCTAAAACTGCTTGGCCGGGCGTGGTAGCTCAGGCGTGTAATCCCAGCACTTTGGGAGGCAGAGGCAAGAGGACTGCCTGAGTCCAGGAGTTTGAGACGAGCCTGGGAAACTTAGTGAGACCTCGTCTCCACAATAAACCAAAAAATTAGCCAGGCATGGTGGTGCATGCCTGTAGCTCCAGCTATTTAGAAGGCTGCAGTGGCCATGAGCGTGCCACTGCACTCCAATCTGGGTGGCTGAGTAAGACTACAATTCAAAAAAACAAAACAAAACAAAAAAATGCTGTGACTTTAAAAAATGGCAGGCCAAAAATTAGCCAAGTGAGATTATTTCAGAAATCACAATACACTAAGCAGGTAACTACCATGATCTATTCCCCTCTAGGTCCTTTCTCCTTAATAGCTTAACTTTCCAGACAGAAACGTGGGGATAAGGCAATAGTTAAATCAGATAAGTGACACACCAAGCAAGAAACCTTCACTCTTGTTTAGGGAAGTATTTTAATTAAGGGACTAGCCAGAGAGATAAAACTACTACCACCACCATAGGTGCCACAACACAGATTTTTTTTAAAAACTACAAACAAAAAACAATAAAGAAGGGAAAGAGAAAGCACATATAAAAAGTGCCAAGTACCTATGTTTTCTCTATCTCACTCAACCTTCTTCAATACCTAGAAGAAAAATGTTTATGTGTGTGTATGTGTGTGTGTGTGTGTGTGTGTGTATTTTGAGTTGGGAGTCTCACTCTGTTGCCCAGACTGGAGTGAAGTGGCATACTCGCAGCCACCGCAGTCTCGATCTGCTGGGCTCAGGTGATCCTTCTGCCTCAGCATGTGCCACTGCCCCCAGCTAGAAGAAATATTTAATATTATAAGTACTATTATTATACATGCATTATACAGAAGAAAAGTTGAGCTTCAGAGAAGGGAGGTAGTTTTTCCAAAGTCACAGAGCTTTCAAATAAGTTTCAAACCCTAGTCTAAGTTCAAAGCCTTGACTTCTTCATTGTATCAGGCTGATCCCACCACAAAAAGTACAAAACATAGTTGTTAAATAAGAAGTAGAATATAATAAAAATTACTTTTTCTGTACATGGATATTTTAAATGCGTTGTTAGGGCATACAAAGTAAATAAAAAGCACTACAGTGCATACACCCAGGAAAGATTATTTTTTCTTAGGTTAAAAAACTGCCATCAAATTAGTTAACCGTTTTACGTGATTTTTATGGGTAGTTGAGGCTAATTAAGCAACTGCCACTACACAGCACATTATTAGAAAAATCCTAATGGTAGCCTATATATATATATATATACATTTTTTTTTTTTTTGGGAGTTGGAGTCACACTCTGTCGCCCAGACTGGAGTGCAGTGGCTGCTCCCGGCCACCACAGCCTCGACCTGTTGGGCTCTGGCGATCCTTCCGCCTCAGCCTTCCAAGTAGCTGGAATTACAGGCATGCGCTACCATGCCCAGCTGATTTTTTGATTTATTGTAGAGATGAGGTCTCGCTGCCCAGGTGGGTCTCGAACCCGCGGGCTCAGGCAATCCACTCACCTCAGCCTCCCAAAGGCACGGGATTACAGGCTGAGCCACCGAGCCCGGCTGCCAATACATTTTTTAAGTGAGAGGTTTAATAATTGGAATAATACTTACAAATCTTTCACTTCCATTGCTTGTGGAAGACACTCCTTCGACAATAGTAATTTTATGATATTGCTGTAGGTTTCGGTGTTAAACACAGTGTTTTTTGCTTTTGCTTTCAGGAAAATATTATATGCATCTATGAGAAAAAAAAAAAAACACAAAAAAATCGCCCAGATCAGATGACATTATTCTGAAATGGCAACAAGGAGGGGAAAAAACCCTAAAACAAAGACCTAACCCAATATTTGTTTTTCAATATCTAACCACTGTTTTCACACTATAAAGGTACACACTGACAAAGCAGATGACTTCACTCTCCAAATCTTTTAAAGACAAAGTTACAATTTTGGAAACTACCACTTCATCCAAATAATGATACCTGAAAGGGTATATGTCTTCATACTAGCTAAATTATTTTTCACACTAGCTTTCTTAAGTTGAAAAATTATTTTCACTCCAATAAAAATGAGAAACAGCTCTTCTGAATTTATAAAAAGATGATACTTGTTTCAAAATAAACTGCGAAATGTGTGTTAAAGTCCAAATAAACCAGAGGTATAATTTAGATTGAGGGGAGCAAAAGATTCATTTTAAAGCAATCTTTAATCTATAAGTGGGTGGTTACGATGGTTAACATTTCAGCACAATAGCATTAAAGTGAATATAGCCTATAATTCTAAAATTAGGAGATCACATTATTTGGCTACGACAGGACTTATACAAAAACATACAATTTTCAAATATACAGATATCTAACAAGTAAACTAAGCAACATTTGTTTGACTGATTAACAGTTTTATTTCACTTGTTCACAATAACTGTCAGTGAATGAAAAGATGTTACCAAAAGAGAAGTAACTACACTTTTCAGTCACTTACTTTTCTGAAATGAAATTGTCTGGCTATAAACAGTCAACTGAAACTACATTCTACTCTCTTCTATATATAAACAAATGACAATAAAGAACTACCACATATGAACTTCTATAAATATATGGCTCAATGTAGGAAAATGCAGAACACGTAACCAGGAACGAACATGATACTAATGTACTCAAGAACATTCTGAGCTACTCTAGAAGTTTCTGAACAAGGAAAAATTGTCATGCTTGCGTTTATAAGTTAGGAGAGGCTGGCTAACCCTAACCCTCAACTACACTGAAGTGGCAATGTCAAAGACTTCTTTATTATTTACCCCTTCAAGCTAAATTTGGAGAAAGTAAGAAAAATTTTATGACGTGTATTTGCATCTTAACTAAGGAGAACAGTTTGAGCAAATGAAAGTTAACTATGGCACGCATAAGTTGATCCCACTTTAAGTAGTCTTCTGAAGAATAGTCCCTATTAGTCATTAAATTATCAAGTGTTCTGGCCCAGATTTCATTGAATATCCATCTGTTACTGGGCACTGACAAAAAGTAGAAAATAAAAACACACTCACAAAATTAAGAAATTCCACTATTCAGACACCTATATATTCAGTGTATTTTATTTTTCTGAGATGGGAAGTCATATCTTCATTTGGGTACCAGTATCAATCCGTCTCAAATTGAAGAACAGTTTATCTACTTATTAAAGTCATAGAACAGCTTTGCTAAATACAATCTTTTAAATCATGACATACAATGACTGTGATAGAGCCTGTCATTTTGTATACAATGCATACATTTTCTTTATAAGGGGGCTAAGAAATTAAGATGTGATACTATTTGGTTATTTAAAATCAACAAAATAAATCTAGAAAATCTTACTTCTTGTCTCCTAAAATTGAAGTCTTCACTTAAATTGGTGTGGCTATGTTTATTACTCCCTATTACTTTTTTTTTTAAGCAAGCATTGTAATATACCAAACCCATTCACCACAGGTTTGTTCATGGTGGCACAATCACAACACACCTCTGAGTAGACTAAAGTATCAGAAAAGCGCTAATCCAAGTATCCAATTCTCAAAGCCTGGTTGAATCCTGAGACATACAAAAAAGAAACTAAAAACTCAAAATTAGCAGGATAAAACCAATTACATAAATTAAAATTACACATAAAAAACAGGATGGAGGTATATCTTTACATCTGTAATAAATGCTGTATTATGCTTAATTACTTAGTTAACTAGTTAAGTGTTTTTACTTAAACTATACACTAAACCTATACTCATTTTAGTCAAATCAAAATTTTAGCAGAATATTGACATAGTATTAATCATGATAATTAGCTTTATATTTAGCTTTAACAGATGCAGGTGAGAGACTCGAGGATATATAGACTGAATATGCAATAATGGAAAATGACTCAGAAAAAATAAAAAGTTATACTCTAGGTGAGTGAGAAGGCATAAGAACTTAGCTTGTTCTTCCTTCATATATTTTACGTCAGTGCCACGAAATTTCTAGTTGAGTTAGAAAATTAAGACGTTCTATAAATTCCTACATTGATTCCTTTCTACTGAATAAAGCTCAAAACCATCAATACCAAAATGGGGGGGGGAGGGAACCCTCTTGCATCTATTTTATTAACAGTTCAACTCTCATAAAGCATAATTGAAATCCACCCCAAAGCTGAAGAAAATAGATCATTCTAGGGAAAGAAATGAACAAGAATAAGGGAAACAGAGTAATATGTTATTCTGGAAGGTTATAAGAAGCCTAAGTGAAATTATATAATTTAATTGTGTAAGCTCATATCATAAGGTTAAAGATGGTCACACAAACTTTAAAGTCATCCTAATGAAGGCAGAGATGTCTTCAGGAAAGGTTATTACTAGAGAAAGGGAAGACCAAGAGACAGGCCTCAAACCCTGACACATTGCTTGGTCACTTCAACACATTACTAGTACGGTAGTTAATGCCCAAATCATTTTTTACTTTCAAATAAAAGTTATAATATTTGTCCCCAAAACATTATTTTCACAGTAGAATCGTCTTCAAAAAGCATACCAATAATAGCTTTTTTTTTTTTTTTGAGTTGGAGTCTCACTTTGTCACGAGGCTTCAGTGGCATGCTCCTGGCCACTGAAGCCTCGACTTACTAGATTCAGGCAATCCTTCCACCTCAGTCTTCCAAGTAGCTAGAACTACAGGCACTTGCCACCATGCCTGGCTAATTTTTTTGGATTTATTGTAGAGAGGAGGTCTTGCCAAGTTGTCCAGGCTGGTCTCGAAACCATGGGCTCAGGCAATCCTCTCACCTTGGTCTCCCAAAGTGCTGGAATTATAAGCGTGAGCTACTGTGCCCGGCCAATAATAGCTTTTATTATAAAAAATTTTTAAAGTACAAAGTATAAAGAATAGTATAACGAACCCCACCTCCCTCACGCCCATCACCTACACCTAACAACAACATTTTACCAGATTTGCTTTCTTTGTGGTTTTTTCTGTTGCTCAGGCTGGAGCCCAGGCTGGAGTGTAGTGGCAGACTCACTGCCACCCCAGCGTCAACTTGCTGGGCTCTGGCGCTCTTTCTGCCTCAGCCTTCCAAGTAGATAGAACTACAGGTGGCACATGCTACCACACCCAGTTAATTTTTGGATTTATTGTAGAGATGAGGTCTCACCATGTTGCCCAGGCTGGTCTCAAGTTCGTAGGTTCAGGCAATCCTCTTGCCTTGGCCTCCCAAAGTACTGGGATTACAGGCTTGAACCACCGTGCCTGGCACTTTCTTTGTTTTGTGGCTAAGTATTTTAAAATAAATTATAGAAAACTTGATTTTGTTTATCCCTCAATAAAAAATGGATCTCAAAATTTAAGAATATGTTCCTATAAATCATAATACCACTATTATATCTAACAAAAATAAGAGCAAACCCCCCTCTTTTTTGAGTTGAGGTCTCACTCTGTCACCCAGGCTGGAGTGCAGAGGCACGATCATGATGATCACGGCTCACAGCAGCCTTGACCTCTTGGGCTCAGGCAATCCTTCGACCTCAGCATCCCAAATGGCTGGTACTACAGACATGCATCACCATGCCCAGCTAATTTTCTTATTTTTTGTAGAGATAAGGTTTTGCTTTACAAAACTTGAACTCCTGGGCTCAAGTAATTCGTCTGCCTCCCCCCACCGCCCTGCCATTGCTGGGACTGCAGGTGTAAGCCACTGCGCCCAGCCTAATTCCTTAATATTATCTATCACTCAGTGAATAGTTAAATTATCCCAACTGCTCCCAAAGGTATTTGTTAAAGTATGAAATAAAATAATTAACTTATAAAGTGTAAATCCCATCTCTATCATACAGCAGCACATCTAGCTTGTTGGGCTACGTGTGCATGCTGCTACTGGAAATAAGACCACGTAGACATGTTTACCTTTGTCTCTCTTCCATCGGCAGGCATGTGACAGCTCTTTATGGAAATCAAATTCTACAGATGAGGGTGATGAAGAACTCAGGGACTGTTTCTCATCTTCATACCACAGCTTTAAAACAAAATTATTCAGTTAAACAAAAACTGGCAAGTACGATGACCTTTTCAGTATGAAAGTGGGCTAGCCTATGACCTAATTAAATTTACAACGAAATCTGTTATGATTATGCTAAAAACAACTTACCTCAGGCACATCAAATGGAACTTCCTGATTACTATTTCTAAGGATTTCAGCTAATAATCTTAAGGTCTTCTCACGGGGAATAACATTCTCTTCTTGCATTTTATTCCAGACAGCATCAGCTCTTTGCCAGTCACCATTTATTTCTGTAGAATTTGATTAAACAGAAATTAATAAATACATTAAACAAGACCCATTAAAATATTTACAACTATTTCTTATTAGGAACCAAAAGTGATTGTGGCCTAAAAGTGAGGGGGGGAGCTTTTTTTGGTACCTTCTGAATTATAAACCCCAAATACCTCACCTATTAAAAAGCAGTAATAACACCCCTGCCCCCAACCTTTACTGAACACTTTGAATCATATTGATAAAAAGTTTGTCTTTTTTTTTTAACCACTTTGCAGATAGTGCAGACCAAGAAAAAGTGTGTCTTTTCAAAGTAACTGAGAAATTGCCCATGGCTGAAATAAAAACCAGAGATAGGTAGCAATTCAACCACGACCTTTAGTGTTTGCAAAGATGACAAACATATGTATACTATGCAGTAGTACACAGCTGTAGGTCTAACATGATTGAAGTGTTCAAATGTATGAACCACTTTAAAAGTGACAAATCTACAAACCCTTTCACTTAGTCGAGTAGAGAAAATTGTCTGTCTCTTTTGTTGACTTGAATTTCTTTGACAGTGTCTGATAGATTATGTCTTCTAGATTTCTTATTTCAACAGATACTGTTATCAGAATAAGTATTACAGGGGACCGAAAGTCTGTTGAGAAGGAAACTGGCAGATTCCTTCATATTGAAAAACCTAGTTCCTTGTATGTGGTAATCCAGTCTTTACAAATAGCAAAAACTTAAGAAAGAATATTTTGGTTTCTTGTTGTTTTCATTTTTGTTTGTGCACTTAAATGTTTCTTCATTCTTATTTTTAAATTAATTTTATTATAGATTCCAGGGTACATGAGAAGATCAGTTACATGGGCATCTTGTGTGATGACCAGGTCAAAGCTTCTGATGAGCGCAGCGCCACCCCCCCCACACAAGCAGCCCTTTCCCCCCTCCTTCCTTCCCCCTCAAGACTTTGTTTTTTGACATTCTCGTGGTTGAAAAGAGAAAAGGAATTTAAATTAAATTAATAAATTAATTTAATTATTAATTTATTAATTTAAAAACAGAGGAAGAAATAAAAAAACACATGACAATATAATTATTAAGTACACAGAAAAACTGCTTTAGATAATTTTTTTAAATGTGATAGTATGTATAAGAAATATCTTGATTGTGTAAGGCCCAGCTGTAGGACGGGAGGTTTATTTTAGAGCACAAATGATCCAGAAAACACAAATTTTTTCCTCAGCATTTTAGGGGAAAAACACTAATATACTAAAAGAAATATAATTTTCCTAGATTTTTTTCCCCTTAAGACTAAAAAGCTAAGTTTTTTTGACAATTAATGACTCCTAAAAGTAAAAAATACAGAGAACAAAAAATATACTCATATTCCATTAGCAATCACAATAAAGAAAAAGGTAGAAAATAAGCAGGAAAATTCCCCTGGGTTACACACAGATAGCAGCCTAAACTTTCACATACTGAAAGAAGACTCAAACATTAGAAATTAACCTAAAGTTCAGAGTGCTTTTACTCATATACATGCTGTGTTAATAAAATCAATCCAATCCAACTAATATAAAAGCCTTACATTTATTTGTATTTTAATTTTGAGTCAGGTTAGAGTGCAGTGGCACTCTGGTGAGTACACTGGAACTGCTGGGCTCAGGTGATCCTTCTGACTCTGCCTTCCACATAGCTGAAACAACAAGTGTGTGACTGCACCCGGCTAGTTTTATTTTATTTTATTTTTTTGAGTTGGAGTCTCACTCTGTCGCCCAGCCTGGAGTGTAAATGGTACGCTCACAGCCACCGTGACTTCAACGATCCTTCCACCTCAGCCTTCCAAGTAGCTGGAACTACAGGCGTGTGCCACCGTGCCCAATTAATTTTTTAAATTTATTGTAGAGACGAGGTCTCGCCCAGTTGCCCAGGCTGGTCTCGAACCCATGGGATCAGGTAATCCTCTTGCCCTGGCCTCCCAAAGTGCTGGGATTATAGGCTTGAGCCCGCGCCTGGCTAAAAGCCTTACATTTATAACCAACATCCAAACCAAGACTTTCGTTATTATTATGTTTTTCCTTCATTAAGATGTTCTTTTGTAACATAAAATTCAAGTACTTCAAGTATGTAAAAGTATAAAATGTATTTGATCTTAAAGAAATTCAAGTTCAGGAATCTTTATTCTGCAGAAGGAAAAGAAGTGGAGCCCCCTGCTCACTGTCAAAAGGTCCTTGTGGACTGTGGGGAAGATACAGGGAAAGTTTCCAAGAGCCAGAAACACTTCTGCTAAGGTACTTTGAAAAGGGATTAATTTTTAAGCTAACAAAACTATTCCAAACAATGAAGAGAAGGTGGGTGGATGATCTACAACTCTGTGCTTTCAGTAAGAACTCTGGGAAGATAATTTTCTTCTTTTAAAAAAGGTACAAAATGACATAAAAAGCTTCTACTTTGGGAGGACAAAGACATTAGAGATGCACCTGTTAAAACGGACTAGTAACTTAAAAAAGAAAATATCTCAAAAAGCAGATGAAAATTAGCATAAGATAGCATGAAGCAACGCAGTAAATATTTTTTAAAGGGAAAAAATTTCCTGGAAACTACCCAGCTCACAAGATACAAAACAAAGATTTGAGATAATCAAACCAATCAGTGTGTCAAAATTTGCAGCTGTGTGTAAAATCTCACAAACGGGAAGAAAAGTCATGCCTTCATTTCATAGAATTCCTTGTGGGCTTCACGTGAGACAACAGTAATCAAACGTGTTCCTCAAATTAATCCAACAGCCACAAACCTGGGCGGAGACCAGGGAATGGACATTCTGCCTCTCTAATCACATCATTCTCCTGGAACTCACAGTTCCTTCTCTAAACAAGAGGACAGACTGTTCAAAATGGGCTTGGAAAACATTTAAGCTATCAAACCAAAGATTTTTGACACTATTAGAGAATTTTCCAAGAACAGACATAGTTGTGGGGCAACAATATGGCTAGAAGGTGTAACAGTTAGTTGGCACTTAGTTTCCTATGCACGAAACTAAGAGATGAAGATTTCTAGTTCAGAGTTTTCACCATAAAAATGAGTTTTACCACATAACTGATAGGATGGGGCAGTTTCCAAATTCCTCATTTGTCAGTCACCTGATAAATGGTATCTAAGTATCATTCCCCTCAAAAATAAGGGTTCCAGGTCTAAGACAGGAATCATGCAGCTTAAGTCTGGTCCATCCTGTTATGATTGAAAACAAGGAGCTACTGATGACTAATGGAGTGTGTCAGGCACCACAGCAGCCAATGTGAAGGGGATCCCACTGGCCAGAGATGAAAAAGTTTCACCTTTAAAAAGAATAAGCCGGGCTCGGTGGCTCAGCCTGTAATCCCGCGCCTTTGGGAGGCTGAGGTGAGTGGATCGCCTGAGCCCATGGGTTCGAGACCCGCCTGGGCAGCGAGACCTCCTCTCTACAATAAATCAAAAATCAGCCGGGCGTGGTAGTGTGTGCCTGTAGTTCCAGCTCCTTGGAAGGCTGAGGCGGAAGGATCGCCGGATCCTAGCAGGTTGAGGCTGCGGTGGCCGGGAGCGACCGCTGCACTCCAGTCTGGCTCCAGAGTGAGACTCCAACTCAAAAAAAAAAAAGGAAGCTACAGAACACAATGTAGAAAATGAGACATGTAGAGCCCAAAGCAATCAAAATAGAATATAATCAAAGTACTAGATGCATGTGTAAAAAATACACGGATACAAATGTAGATGAAAGGGAAATGCAGACAGAGGGAACTAAGAATGGTCAATGGACAAAGGTACCTCTGTGGTAAAGATTGTGGTGGACATGATGACTTTTCCACATCTAGCTAGCATGCCATTATATTGTTTGAATCTTTCATAACATTCATGTCATGAGTGTAATAAAAGGAAAAGGCCACACAGTCAGAAAAGAAATGTCAATGGCTATATGAACTTGAAGAAAGAACATATAAATAAATTGAGATAGAATAAATGCCGAGGTTGTAAATATTTTTAAAACAGATCCAAAGAATTTTATTGCAAAGTTATAAATGTAAGGCAGCTTCACTCTTTGATAGACTACTTTGTGTATATAAAGAACAAACTAACCTTTACTTTGTATACGTAAAGAAGAAACTGAAGTGTTTAGAAGGTAAGAAAATGTTTGTAATTTAGAAATAAATAGAATGTTCCTTAAACAGGCAAGGGAGTTACCTCATTCATGTAATGTTTGTTGTAGATTCCAGGATCTAATTTTGCAACTGTCATAACTAAAGATAGAATTACAACAGATTCTTACAACAGATTATTTATGAACATAACACTACACTGAGTCAGTGAAAATAAAAGTAGCTTTAGAATAGCTGGTATTTATTTATTTATTTTTTGAGTTGGAGTTTCACTCTGCTGCCTAAGCTGCAGTGCCATGGTGCCAACCTGCTGGGCTCCAGCAATCCTTCCACCTCAACCTTCCAAGTAGCTGGAACTACAGACACACACTACCATGCCCAGCTAATTTTTAATTTTATTGTAGAGACAAGGTCTTGCCAAATTGCCCAGGCTGGTCTCGAACCCACAGGCTCAGGCAATCCACTCACCTTGGCCTCCCAAAGTGCTGGGATTACAGGCTGAGCCACCGAATCTAGGTAGATTAGCTAGTATTTAAAGGTATGATAAGACTTGTACAGTTCCATGTGTGCTGGTGGTGATAAACTACTGAGCTGTATGTATGTATCTCTGTTTTGTGCATGTTTTTGTAGTATGCCATAGTTCACAACGAAATTAAGTGGGTATGGGTGTGTAAGAGGTGCTGTTTTAAAATAAGCAAAGGAGTCAGTCATGGTGGCTCATGACTACAATCCCAGCATTTTGGGAAGCAGAGGTAAGAGGATTACCTGAGCCCACAGGTTGGAGAACAACCTTCAGCAACTTGGTAAGACCACATCTCTACAATAAATCAGATGGTAGTACACACCTATAGTTCCAGCTACTTGGAAGGCTGAGATGGAAGGATCGCCTGGGCCCAGCAGGTCAAGGCTGTAGTGACCTTAACCATGCCACCGCAGTCCAGCCTGGGTAACAGAGTGAGACTCTGACTCAAAATGATAAATAAATAAATAATAAAATAGACAAAGGAAAGCTGCTTTTCAATTAAGTATCTAAATAACAACCAATCCAAACCCTTTCAAGGGCTAAAATCACTTCATGAAAAAGAAATCCATAACCCGAACTATGGCCTTTTCAAGTAGAAGAGGAAGGACCACATGTCACTATCAATGAAATGAACTACCACATGTTCCCTTTCAAATAAACTGAGTCCACGTAACAATATTTAAGTAGTTTGTCCAAGTCTGAGGGCAAAATGGAGAGAGGAGCTGCAAAAGGGGACAGTTTGCCTTTTCTTCAGAAAGGACAGAATTAGGGTGATTACAACCAGATTATCCATTTATGACAACACTACAGAAGGCAAAAAGTATACAAATGGGGATTAAAAAGTATGCTTCCTATAGGATTCCACTGGTTTCCTGCACCGTAAGAGGCCATCCACACCCTGTCAAGCTCCCTGCCTATTGGCTCAAAAACAGGGTAAGAAGCAATTGGAGGCAGGTGTCCAGCAGAGTAGACAGAAGGCATCAAGGAGAAGAAACGGTATTACATCACATATCCCTAAAGGGAATTTTTGGGTTTTGTTTTCTGAGTCAAAGTCTCACTCGGCTGCCCAGGCTGGAGTGCAGTGGCTTGATCACGACTAACGACTCAGTGCAGCCTTGACCTCCTGGATTCAGGCGATTCTCCCTCCTCAGCCTCCTAAGTAGCTGGGACTACAGATGTGCGCCATCATGCCCAGCTGATGGTTTGAGTTTTTGTAGAGACAAGGTCTTGCTATTATTACCTAGACTGATCTCCAACTCCTGGGGCTCAAGTGATCCTCCCACCTTGGCTTCCAAAGTGCTGGGATTACAGGCATGAGCCACTGTGCCTGGCCCCTAAAGAAAATTTTAAGATGAACCTGAAAGTTTTCTCTTTTCTTAATTTTTTTTTTTGAATCATCAGTAAAGTGTCGCGTGGCTGGCCAGCTCTCAGCTGACCCTGGACTACCACTGTTCACACACATCCGTCACCTATTTTTATACCATGTATGTCTTGGCCATGGGCTAACTCTTTCAGCAGACCACCACCAGCACATCTGCAGTGTTTTCCACAATACGTCACACACAGGAAGGGCTTTGTGGATTTCTTTTTCTGAGTGAAAATTGATGCAGTCATCTATCAGGACTACTTTGAATGCTAAGACACATTCAGATATATAAAGTCAGTATTTTTTTTAAGTTTGTACACAACTAGAATTTAAACAGTTCCTCAAAAGGAAGAAAAGGAGGTGGAATGGGTTGTCAGCACTCGAATACAGGTTATAATCCACAATAAAAGGACAAATGCCCCAAACACAAGGCTTTTAGTTCTATAAATTCATTATTATTAATCTCAGCATTGTGTGGGAATTTGAGCATCATTCAAACCAAAGTTTTAAGAATTCCACTGTGAGGTGTATACTTCAGTACAACCAAAAATTGGAATGCAATTTTTAAAGCAAGTCTTATTTTACTTACACCACCAAGATGCAAGATAAAAGCTTCCAATGGTAATAATAAAAGTTCAAGAAGACAGATCAACTTATTACTATCTATGCTTGGTAAAGAAAAACTTGCAATGGCAAAAAACGAATAAATCTAGATCAAGTATCTAGGAAACAAAAAGGAAAAAGTCACCGACTATTCCAAGAAGTGTTCCCCTACATCCAAATATCCTAAAAGAGACTGTGAAGCTCCCAAATGTATACACTAGGATAAATGTACAAAAGCACTGTTTGACAGCAGAGGTCAAAGGTTTCAGAAGTATAACATACAAATACTAGGACTTCAGCCTAAGGAAATAATTACAGGCATAAACAAAGAATAAAGCACAAAAATGAATACAGCAGTATTGTTTTAATATGGAAAACTGATTAACATGCCCAGTAATGAGAGATTGGCTGAGGAAATTTTAGTACATCTATTCAGTGTATTAGTCATTTGTAGGTGATTAAGTACAGAAAAATGTTTGTAATAGATGACTGAGTCAAAAATATATAATCACATATTGAGAAATAAATTGTTGAATATGAGTGTGTATATAGATATGCATCTTTTTGCAAAAAGACTTATACACATGTATATGTTGTTGGCTACCTATGTATAAAAGTAACTGATAAATCTACTTGAAGATTGAAATAAAAAAGAAGAAAAAGGACAGTAGTATCTCAAAAAGTTCCATTTACTTCTGTGGCTCTGATGAAGATTTTCTCACCTTCTCGTTGTTGCAGTGAGAATGTCAGAAATTGTGAAGGCTGTAGTGTCTAGTGACATAATATAACATTCTGTGATAAAGTTCAACCCAGCCTTTACTTGAGCCTCTGCTGAAGACTCCACATTTGACAATACCTAGACCCTCCTTAATGCCTAATACTCCTTTCTGACCACTGTCTTCAACAGACTAAACAAATAAAACCATGAGGAATAGTTAAATCACTTACTATATAGTTTTAGCAGACTGTAGTACATCTGGTCTCGATCACATTCAAATAGCTTCTGTGTCAGCTCCACTAATTTTTCCAGAGTTTCAACCTTAAAAATAAGATTAAAAGATAGATCCACACTGTGCTGAGGATATATTTTATAGTGGACAAATAGCAGCTGAATAATCCTTCATATTAGCTTCATTCAAAAGGCAGGTTAGCTTCATTTCAAAGGTTAAAGGACCGAGCACAACAATGTGAATGTACTTACTATCAGTGAACTGTATACTTTCAGATGGTTAAGGTAAGAAATCTTACGTGATATATATATATATATTTCGTTGTTTCCATTTGTGATTCATATTTTACCACAATCTTTTTAAAAAGTGTTTTAAGTTAAAAAGACCCTTTAGAGTCAAGAACACACAACATCAATAACATCTCAATGAGTATATCATATGTTAACAAAAATACTTCTCCACCCAAACCGTAGACACTTCTTGCTCTGTAGCTTTTACTTGGGAGGCTGTGAACAGATACGTGTGCTGGCGGAAGGACAACAAAACCTCTGCTGGGCTCTGGGAAGCAACGCCTCCCATCACTAAGGTCTGATGTAGACCCTTAAACTGCCAAGGACACAAGATCAACCAACAACTAGGATAAAACAAGTTAGAATCTTGAGGGCCCAGATTAACATTTTTAGGTTTTCTATTGCACCTCAGGACAAGAAATACACTCTTGCTTCTTTAGAAGACAACCAACTCTGCAGCCACAATGCTCAATCTCTTGAAATCCCCAAGTGTTCATATGACATGTAGGACACTTGCCTTCTACTCATAGCTTTAGGTGCTCGAGACATCAGAAATCAAATACAAACCTGATTGCTTGTAATACATCTGTCACAAAACCACTGAAGTCTTGTAGGCCGCGCTCTAATGCCTGGAGTCTACAAGATAAAATAAATACATAGCACCCACAGTAAATATTAACTTTTGCTAAATATAAAGTTTTCCTCAAAGACAAAGAGTTCTTCTAATGACTTTGCTACCGAATACATACAAGTATATTAAACTTACACACATTATAACTAATACTGAACTATTACTTAATTCCACAGTTATCAAAGACCTTTAAATAAGAGTGGAACAGATCATAAAACACAACGTATGTGTAACCTACATCTAGGAGATGCAGGCTATTTCAAAACGCTACTTTGCAGGTCAATGTTCATTCCATAAATCCTTAATTAGTAAAATGGTTGCACTTTCTTTAGTCTAAAAAGAAGTGATGAACTAAGTTGCAAAATATGTCAAATAAAACACACACACAGCATGAATGCTCATGTGTGTGCGCTCTCTCACTCTCACATCCACACAAGCACACACACTTCCTTCCTAATATTCAGAAGACAAAAACTATTAATATGCCATACAAAATTATTAGCAACTGTCACAATAATAAACCAATGGTGTTATTTTTAAAAAGAAACATGTTTTGTAAAATTCAGTCATAAAAGCACACTAATGATTAATTCAAATGCTTACGTAGCATCTAAAACTAAATGCTTAAAGAGAAAAACAAGCTAAGTATACAATACTTGTTCAGGGCTATATTTAAACAATTGAAACATATGTTATATCCTCAATTAGAAATTACTACAGTTTAGTCAATAACTCTGGCTTCAAAGCACTTATTTTAGAATTTTAGATACTGGAATAAAAGACAAACCATTTCAACATAATTTCAAGGATTTGTCACTCTAACTATAGTATTTTCATCATCTGTAAGAGGGCTTCACCATTAAATACTACATTTCAATCACAGCATTATGATAAGAAAACTACATACTTATTAGCCCTGGCTGCTCCAGTCTAGAGGAGGTTCCTTTACTGCTGTCTCCACTCAGCTCTGTTGATGAAACTAGGTATCCCTTGAATCTCATCTCTTATTTATAAGTCCCCATTATTTTTAATTTTTAAAAATAACATTGTATAATGCTAAATTAAGAACTGAAGCAGAAGCTAACATCTTGCAGCTCTGGTGGAATGACAGAAAAAACGGGTGCAGCAGTAGTTGGATAAGTGTACTCATTATAACCATCCAATACCAGCATTTGGGGATATAAGGAATAAATGAATAAATTAATCACTGAAATATATTCTCTAACACCATTAACATCTACATTCAGAAAGAATTTCTACTCAAGAATTTTTTAACATTATTTGTTTTGTTTCACATGTATTACAATGAAAATGAAACCAACATCAATGTATACAAAAGCCCTTGGAAAACTAGTAAATAATCCTCTTTAGAACAAGGCAAAATGCAAGGGCTACATTCACTTACAACTTTCAATATTATTGCTGATCCAAATACAAAATGATCTAAACAGCACAACTTTTATGACGAACTCTTTCTGTTTGTGGCTGATTAATCTGCCTGTCTTTGGCAGGACAGCTGATTTATATTGCAGATCTTCCTATGTTTCATTTTGAAATTGAGAACTGTTTTCATATATAAATCTCAATCATCAAAAGAACATCTAGGTCAGATTAACTAAATCTCCTAGGCTGCTGTAATAGTCAACATTTCTGGCTTATCTCTTAACATCTTATTGAATTTTAAACTCTGTAAGTTGAAAGCAGAAATAGAAAATGTAATAAAAACATGGAGAAGACTAGAATTCTAATTGGGATGTTAAGTAGAACAATAAAAACCAGTTAATGTTAATTAAAACAATAAACTCACCTTTAGTTCTGTTTTTGTTACATACAATTTATCTAATGGATGGTGAGGATACAGTAATTATTTTAATAGAAAAAAAAACTGGCATGTTTGTTTCCACCTGGGTTACTATGCTTTAAACCCACAACTTTCTGCAGTTGCAATTCAATACTAAATTCCCTTGGGGGGGTGGGTGGGGGAGGGAGGCAGTAATCCAAAGTCAAAAATAATTGTCATTACTTTAATTTCATTACATTACTCTGAGGTAAATTTGCTGGTATTATAGTAAGTTTCTATGTATACTGATAAAAATTCAGAGGGTGCCAAAAAAAAAAAGTATATACATTTTAAGAAAGGAAGACACTGTACTAAAATTGTAATACTCAATATATACTAATAACAAAAGATGAATACAAGTCACATTTGACTTCTGCAGTTATAAGAGGTGCTCAAAGTGGTTCCCGTCAGCGACCACACATTTCTGGTTATGGCAAACTAAAAGTAATACATAGACAACATCTCTTAAAATGTGTATACATTTTTTGGCAGCCTGGTAAATATAATATAATTACTGACCTTGAAGTGAAAGGAAATGAATACTGTATTTCAAACTCTATCTCAAGGTAGATTATCTTAAACTTAATTCAAACAGAAGTTTTCACCTATTTTGATTTTTCTTGCCACTGATGCTAAAGAAGTAAAAGAAAAACAACAACAAAACCCATCCTAGCCCCATGTCTTCTAGTTAGAAGAGTAGGAGGAAAAATCATGTGCACAAGAGCTTTGAAGAGGGGACAAGCAAAAAGAACTGCCAGGCAGAGTGGTGTGTGCCCGTGAGTCTACCTGCTCAGGAGGCTGAAGCAACAGGACTGCCTGAGGTCAGGAGTTCCAGGCTATAATGCATTAGGATCGCGCCTATGAATAGTCATGGCACTCCAGCCCAAGCAAAATAGTGACGTTCTGTCTCACAAACAAACAAACCTCAACCCAAGGACAGCTGCTCCTTGAACAACACAGAAGTTAGGGGTGCTGCCTCCCTGCGTATCCAGTAAAAAATCCACATGTAACTTCTACTCCCCCAAAACTTAACTACTAATAGCCTCCTGTCGACTGGAAACCTTATCTTTAACATAGTTGATGAATACAAATTTGGTATGTTATATTATATACTGTATTCTTGCGGTGAAGCAAGTTAGAGAAAAGAAAATGTTAGGAAAATCTTAAGAAAGATAAAATACATTTACAGGACTGTATTTCTTGACACCGTAAGTTTCCATTGTTTACAAGATGAGTTTCTATCTGAAATAGTAGGCAATTGCCACAGGCCTGGATCTACAGCACGTATCAAACAATTTGACTTTTTGTGGAAACATCATGACTCTTCTACTTCCTAGGAGCACTTCCAGCATCACTAGTGGCACTGCATATGGGTCCCATGATGCTACTCAAAGTGTTATAGTTTTACACCGAACATGAAGACAAATACAAGAGAACCGTGAGAGGTCACTTAAGACTGTAATACGCAACTGACTGCAACACTTGAGTCACAATAGCAACAGGTGGCTGCGAAATTATTACAGTATGGACTGTAGGCAATTTAAAGATTATAATTTAATACTGCATCATTGTTTACGTTTCTAGCAGTATATGCAATCTGTGTTTGTGTATCTTAACTTTTTGTAATAGATTTGTATGTTTATAGTAGTAGATGATAGACTAGTGTCTACATATGTTTTATGTATCCATGACATATCTAATTTTTTATTGTTTTTTAAAATATTTCTAGGCTACACGGTTTGTCTGCAAGTTGTCTCAAATCTCAAAAAAACTTTTCCAATATATTTACTGTAAAAAATCCATGTAAACATGGATCTGCACAATTCACGCCCATGTTCAAGGGTCAGCTATCTTTATCCCCATACCTCGGGTAGATCAAGCTTATCATGGCACTGATTAAATCTTTTAGCATTTGTCCTTTTCTCTGAAATCTTCAGAGACAGACTTAAAAGACTGTGTCTGGTAAGGAGGAAAACATGGTTGAGCAAGTAAAACTAACAGCCTAACTATTCTAAATTAAACACGATGACCAGTTGTTACAGGACATATTAAATAAACTCATGGGAGAGAGGGTATACATTTGCATTGAAATTTTGGAAGTCAAGGGGAAAAAAAACTAGCTCTAAAATCCCCTTATTAAGAAAGGCAAGTAAGATAAAAAAAAACCCTGAATTTGATTTAGTGAAGAACAAAAGGAAGAATAGCCAAGATTGGGAGATCAATGGAATCCAAACTTTTGATCTGAAACCAGTAAGTCATTTCCCCACTGAGAAGCAGCAAATTTTCTCTGGCTGCAGTATGATAGGCGAAGGAAAAGGCAAGAAAGAGCCATTTTTGGAGAGAGAGTTAAGTTGTTTTTGGTAGTTCAGATATTGAGGGGCCAGGATTACTTGGCAGGGATAGTACAGGGGAAACAACAGAAAACGGGAACCAGGGCCCAATTTCAAATCCCAAGAATATACGTTGGGTATCTTATCCAAAATGCTTGGGAGCAGAAGTGTTTCAGATTTTTCTAGATTTTGGAATATCTGTATTATATTTACTGGCTGAACACCTCAAATCCAAAATCCAAAGCACTCCAATGAGCATTTTTTTTCAGTGTCAGTCAAGAAGTTCTGGATTCCAGAATATTTCAGATTACAGTTTTTGGATCAGGAACACTCAACCTGTATTTAGCCAATACATAAGCTCCATAACCCAGCAGAACTTCAGTTTTGTGCCCTAACTGCTTCTCAAAACTGTTTTGTGAGACGCATATGAAATGTACATGAAAATCATCTGAAAAGCATAAGAGTGCTACTATTACAAGTCATATTGTTTTGCTGGTAATTTAAGTTTGAACCCCAGGGGAAGAGGCTAGAATAAGAAATGCTAACTAAGTTTAAAGCAGAATTTTACCCTGTTTGTATCTGCACTGAGAATCTAGCAGTGCCTAGCACATGGCAGACATTCAGGAAGTGATTACTGAACTACTCAGAGCACTGAGAAGCAAATGAAATAACAAATGATCACAGTATTTGACCCACTTCTGAAAACCAAATATGCCCATACAAATGTGAATTATAATTATTACTTAGAATAGTGAAAATGTTTCTCCAAGGAAAGGGGACAAATAAACTTTAGTTCATTTATGAAATGGCATAATATGGCCATTTAAAATAATGCTTAAAAGAGTTCTTAATTATGTTCAGGAAAAAGAACAGACAGTGGTGAAGGGTAAAGAAAGTATTATATAAGGTGTATGATGCAATCCACTTCAATTATATACAAGGACACACTTAACAAAAAGGCAATAAAACCATGAAGAATAGTGAATCTTTATGTTTGGCACATTAAGCAACAATATGTGTTTTACTTGAGTCTATACAGGGAAAAAAAACCAGACTGATCATCATTACTGGCAAGACAAAGAATGTATTTCACACTGTATCTGATATAATCATACTTGTGTAAGTTTGCAAAAATAACTTGTGAACATTTTCTGACTGGCATATTAATTCCAGGTTGTGCCATAATTCACGGTTTACAGATAGCCTTCAGAGGATGTGTCTGCACAAGAGATGAAAAAGATGACTTTGATACAGGAAAGAATGTCACATAGAAAGAAGAGAATCAAACTAACATTTATTACATACTTAATAATACACCAGACATTCTAGCTGCTATCTTATTAGTGTTATTTAATAAGATTTCTAAGAAGCAGAACAAGGATAAAAGGTGGAAACACTATCCTGCCTCGGGGCCTTTGCATAGGCAGCTCCCTATGTCTGAAATGCTTTTATCTTCCTTCATTCTACTAGCTGGCTCCCAATTCACCCTCTAGTTTTAATCCCAAACATCACTACCTACGAAATCCCTAGTCCTTTCTACAACACTTAGTCTTACAGCAATTACTATATTTTATAGATTTCTTCTTTTGAAGGTTTATCTCTTTGACTAGACTGTGAGATATAATCAGTAATTATTTGTTAAAGGAAGGAGGGGAGGGAGACATGAGGAAAGAAGAGAGGATGGGAGGGGAAATTGGTCAAAGTGGGAAGTCAAGCAAAGCTATCACCACTTTAGTCATGGCTCGTCCAAAGGTAGTGAGTTATCTCAATTCACGGTTTACAGTTTCAGATTGAACTCCTTGTTTTACTCTCCCCCACCCTCAATTCACGGTTTACAGTTTCAGATTGAACTCCTTGTTTTACTCTCCCCAACCCCCATTACTGCACTTGACTAGTCTTGAAAACAAATAAACAAGCAAAACACCTTAGCTAAAGGGCTTCAATCTAGAAATTTCAGATGAAGAAATCTGTCAACACCAACTTTAAGGAGATAGGAGATGCTGTATAAACTAAGTCAGAGCTTTGCTTATCTCATGTCTATGTTAAGTCATCCTACTTTCTGTTAACTAAAGTCTCTGTCCTTCAATTACATATTATTTGTGATGACTGTGTAAAGTATCTTAAAAATCCCTACTACTACCATCCTAATTTAGACCCTTATTAATCTCACTGCTTCAATCCCCCTTTAATTTATCTTACAACTTTTGCTAGTATATATTTCTTTTACACTGCTCAGATTAACTCCTATTTCCTCATTTTGATACCAAGGGTTTCTAAAATCTGGGAACAATCTACCCTTCTAATACACCTCCCAATCTCATCAAACTTCCAAGCGTTAAAGTGCTACCAGATCCACCATACTATTTCCTCGAGAGTCTTCCCTAATTTCCTACACTGGGAATAAGTTCCACTCTTGAACTCTCAGAATTATTTCTTTCTTTCTTACAGCAGTTAACACTTTTCATTTTCATACATCAGTCTATACACATATTAATCTCCTGTTCAAGGAGCTTCACATTAGCTCCCTGAGGGTTGATATTAGTCTAATTCACTCTGTTCTCTTTCAAAGGAAAAAAGAGTATAAGAATACTTTTTCTGAGCATAAAAATATATGTGCTCATTATAGAAAACTAAAAAAATACAGAAGAACTTAAAAAAGTTACAATCTCACCTTCTTGCAATAAGCCTGTAAAGTATAAGACTATGTCAAATGTATTATATATACATTTATATTTATACACTGATCTTTCTTTTTATCTTTAGTCACTCAAAATACGCATTATGACTCATTTATCTTGCTATCTCCCACAGTGCTTCAAATACAAAGCAGCTTTGGAAATTCAACCATAGTGAATCTACCTACTGATAAGATATTATTGCTTTTTTGGGAATGATAAAAATGTTGCTCAGGACTTACAGTATTCTTTTTTTTTTTCAGTTGAAGTCTCACTCAGTCACCCAGACTGGAGTGCAGTGGCTGCTCCTGGCCATCGCAGCCTTGACTTGCTGGGCTCCAGCGATCCTTCCACCTCAGCCTTCCAAGTAGCTGGAACTACAGGCGCGTGCTACCATGCCTGGCTAATTTTTCTGATTTATTGTAGAGATGAGGTCTCGCCAAGTTGCCCACGTGGGTCTTTAACCCACAGGCTCAGGCAATTCACTCACCTCGGCCTCCCAAAGCGTAGGATTACAGGCTGAGCCACCAAGCCCGGCCAACAGTATTCTTTCATATGCTCATAAATTCCCAGCTTATTGATTTGTTACTTTTAAAATTTTCAATAATCCTTATAAAACTTTTGAATTTTAACAACAAAAAGAGCAGGTTTCCACTTTAATTCACCCCCAACTAACAATTTTTTAAAAACCATGACAATGGGCATCAGTATAGTCTCATGTATTACACACCTTGCTGCCCTGCCCTCAGGTACCGCAGTGGTTTTGTAAAGCTATTCTTTACTCTTTAAAACATTTCATCCATACATCCATTGTGAAAACTCTGTCTCCAGCAGACTCCCATTCCTAAATAGTGGTATTCAGTGGCAAAGCTCTAAAGCATTGAAGAGGCCATCTCTCTCACCCACTCATATGACAAAAATGTACCTTATGCTAAGGATCACACTGTGAATTATGTGAGGTAAAGACATCACAACCCCTATCTTTAAGAGGCAATGAGAATTAATTTTATTGATCACTTACCATAATCCAGGAAACATGCAAGCTGCTTTACATACATTATGTGATTGAATCTTAAAGACAGATATGCCATTCCGTTTTATAGATGAGGAAGCTTAGAAAGGTTTAGTAACTCAGTCATTATCACACACGCAAGCAGAAGGCAAAATGAGAACTCACTCTTACACCTTTGGCTCCTTCTAGTATACCTGATTACATAAAGAGGGATACATGCTTTCCTCCTTAGAACACTCACTGCTATTATCAGAAAACCTGAGCTTCCTGCCTACTTTAGTCAGTGACCTGTAATACTGACATTATGCATCAAGAGTAGCAGATAGCTCTCCTTACTTGTAGACTGGAAGGATTTATGCTATTTTCTAAAAAATGTCGACAAACTACCCGAGTTCCAGAAGACACCTGTTTCAGATGGCACACCCCACTGTCCCCTGACAGGTGGGTAGATTGAGTCATAAGACAGAAAGAGAAAACTTGTGAATTAATTTCACAGCCCTCCTTTCCTATACTATACTTCTCCCTTTAAAATAATAATAATAGGGGCAAACCCTTCGGGTCCCCTCCCACTGTGGGAGCTTCTCTGTCCTCTCAATAAGTCCTGCTTCCTCACTTAAAATAATAATATTATTATTATTGTTATTGAGTTGTGTACCTACATTTCCAGTTTCATGATAAGCAATTCTCAATATACAAACAAGGAAGCCAAACACTGCCTGTGCATCTGACCCACTGTATATTCTTGGAAAAAGACACGGAGTAAAAAGCAAAGTGTGATCTGAGAAAAACATGATTACTGATGTACTATAAGTTAGCAGTTTTAATCACATGAAATAATTCTTCTTAAGTCAAAGGGTCCACTGCCTTCAGTGGAATGCTTTGTTTTCTTAGTGGACACAAAGTGTTTAATCACAATTTGGATAGACTTTATAGTTGGCCTTTGACTTATCAATTCCAGTAAGAAAAATTTAGTAAAGCCTAGATAAAATATACTAATCCTAAATAGGCCAGGTTTGTCACCTACCATTTCCCATAAGCTGCTTACCATAGTTAAAAAAAAAAAGAAGAAGAAGAAGAAAATTTAAATTAAATGCCAAACAGTTGCAGACAGCACTTGTTTGGCTGATTAACTTGTAGACAAGCATTACAAATAAATCTGAGCATGGTCTGCAGCAAATTAAATTCCACTGCTTTTAAGAACAAAGAATTCTTTGGCAAAGAGGATTAGCAACTTTACACCCAGGAATGCCAGTTTAATTTAATTGTTCCACAATCCAAGATTTAATATGCAAATATCATTTTGATATATAATAGTGAATTTAACAAAGTGAGGAAACAAATTCAATATACAACCAGACTGCCTTTTCTGAACTGTAATTATATACAATAAAGAAACTGGTCGAGCTCCCCCTTCTCCCCACATTACTGGGATTGAATTCTATTAACATGAATCAGTACAAGTGTAATTAAAGGTTAAAATTTTTAAATGTATTCTAATTAAGAGTCTAAATAGCTGTACAATTAGAATATTGTAGTTAAAAATCACACCTCAATGATCTTCTTGGCCTCTTTGTAATTTCTTGTTTGTAGGAAGGCAAAGAAGAGATCATATAGCATCGTCATTTCACCTTGTTCTTGGCTCACAAAGTCCATTGCTAGAGAGGAAAGAAATAATACATATAGGAGAATAAAAACAGAAACCCAGTATCATATGAAGTTCTAGACAAATTCAAGAAAGCTTTATCTTAAAGACAAATATTAAGAACTTAAAAATTATAACTATATTAACTAATTTTCTGTTATATTACTTATCTAATTGTATATATGTATGACATTAAGCCCCTAAGACCAGCTTCTAAAAGGACCCATGAGGATCAGGGTAAAAAAAATCTTCATAAAGATAGATTGCCAATAAGTAGAACACACACAAAAAAATGGAGGAGTAACTTTTCAAAATGAACAGTTACTAAAATCAAGAATATCTGTAATATTGAAAGTCTACCTGATACTTTTCAATTCTTTTCCATTCAATTCATTTTTCTTGCCTTCTGCTGAAGTTTCTCTTTACAATAATACATCAAAATTAAATAAACATGGAGGGAAAAAATTCCAACTACATTAAGATATTAGTGACTAACCTTTCTGGATTAGATCAGTCTCGCCTTTCTCTATCAGTTTACACAGGACATCATGAATCCTTGGTAGTATCTTATATTTCTCATAGCAGTTAATAGTGGCTTCAAGAGCAGCAGGCAAATCATCCCTTGGAAGCATCAAAAGTTAACAATGAATACAATATATCAAATTCAGTAATACTTTACAGAGCTATACAATGATCAATCAGAATGTAAACAACGGAGCTTTACTTAAGGTGGAAAAGCACAAAGCCAAAATGAAAAAAGAAAAAAAACTTTTATAGAAATACAAATGTTCATCATTAGCGGCCTACTATTTATCTTGCTTCATCTTTTATTTATTTTACTTGCTAAGTGGTACTTTTAAAAAAATGGTCCCAAGAGATGAAGGCATTCACTGATTTTATTATAAATAAAATCTGACTTTATACAGTAAGTTGCCACAAGAATGCATTATTTCTAAAAGCAAGAATTATGGTCAAATATTTTTTCCAACTATTAATGTGCTTTTATGGCCCTGAATCTGAATAATTCAGATTTGGTAAACTTCATCAAATGCTTATCAGAAACTATTAAGAAATTTTCAAGGACTTTCCAACTTTATCACATTTGTCATACTGCCACTTTATAAGCTAAGTAGGAAAAAACTTCAGGTTTCATATATATAGGAATGTACTACTGCTAAAAGTAGGATAGTCTTCTGGGTCAATGAATTTTAGGAGAACTCTAAGCTTTTTTTCATTAAAGAGTAAGCTTTTAAAAATTATTTCTAACTAGAAAATCAAGGCTTCTTTCATGTGCTGAGAAACAAAAATAAAAATATACAGAGGGTGTTAAAAAATGTATACACATTTTAAGATAGGAAAAACTGTATTAAAATTCTAATATTTAATATATACCGATAATAAGAACATAGAAATATATTCTTGTGGGGTCTCAAAAACTACTTGTTTCCTTTAAAAGGAAAATGATAATATGAGATATACATAAGACCTTGGAGAGTTAAAAGAGATTATGTGATACAACTCTACATGTCACCTCTTTTACTTTGAAAGTGATGAAGGAACTGAGACATCTAGAAATTGATTGGCCTAAGGCTAGTAGGTAAACAGGAAGGTATTAGCAACCAGGTCCCTAAACTTCTCACTAACAGCTCAGTATTTCTAATTACACATAATGCTTTATTAAAAGCACTGTTGTTTGAATAACCTAATAAAGTGGTACAACTTGGAGTAAGAAGTCAAAAGATTTTTGAAAGAAGAATATGAAATGTATTTTAAAAAGAGGTATGATGAGAGACATGGACCTAAGTACAAGTAGTGAAAATTAGTGTCAGTTGTTGTAGAGGCTATAAATTTCACACTAGAAATAGTTTTCATAAGAAAGTCTTTTTTCATTTTTTTGTTCAAGCAAATCCCCACATTTTTGTCCATTACACAAATGTTATGCTGCTCTAGACTGAATTACTTTTTTTTTTGAGTTGGAGTCTCTCTGTCACCTAGGCTGGAGTGCGGTGGCACACTCACAGCCACCCCAGTGTCGACCTGCTGGGTTTCAACGATCCTTCCGCCTCAGCCTACCAAGTAGTCGGAACTACAGGCACGTGCTACCATACCCGGCTAATTTTTATTGATTTATTGTAGAGATGAGGTCGCACCAAGTTGCCCAGGCTGGTCTTGAACCCGCAGGCTCAGGCAATCCACTAACCTCAGCCTCCCAAAGTGCTGGGATTACAGGCTGAGTCACCAAGCCTGACCCTGAATTACTATTTTATCTAGATTAAGATTTTAAGATATACTAAAAAAGTAAAATAGAACGAGGAATGTTAATTTTACTGCAATAATACTGACACAGTGAAAATGAGCCTATCCTGACGGAACTCTACCATATCCCCTTACTAAACCCTGTTTACAGTACATCTTCTGGCACCCCACAGAGTCATTTGAATTTTTGTCATTTGGGGTGAAGAACAAATTACAGGTTAATTTCAAACGTGCAAGTACATGTTGCAGGCTAGATTACTGTCATACAGGAGAAATGGTACTGTAGCTACCACATATGATATAAGCTTTATATAATCAGTATTTTCCCTTGCTTCAGACACGGGTTCAGTTATTGCCTTTCTACACTTCCATTGAATGAAAAACTGCTAAAACATTTTTAAAAGCAAAACTAACACATACTGGTTTTTTTTAAGTGGCAAGATTTGCATTTTCAGATCAATTCCCAAACAAGAATGGTATTGTCTCAATTATATTTCCCCTACATTAGGTCAAAGCTATCAATAAATGAATGAATAATTGTTCTGTCAATCAAAACGACATGTTAATGGTCTTTGGTCTTCAAATACACACTTCTGAAGATTATACATGTTCAGAACAACAACAGAAAAGACAAGAATAGCGAAATGGAAATGATTCATATATCTGTTAGTAACTGAAAGTAACAAGGTTACTGCTCTTAGGTTGCCAACAAAACAAATCAGAAATTTGTAATGCAACACTTCATACACCCTGTTCTGGAGACAGAAATGAACTAAATGACTAGTCCATATTATCTACATTCGAACTCATGACTGAATCATATCATTTTAAAAAGCACAGATGTACATGCTTCACATAATTTATGTCATCATTAATTGCTCATACTAAAGTTTGAAAACTTAGGTGATGAAAATTGTATACTCATAGGACTTTGGATTTCAATCTCAAATGATTAGAGCACTTGGGCAGCTCTACTGTGGCAATGTGGTACATTTCTAGAAGTGGCGATGAAAAGCAGAGTATCACAATGGCAGACCTCATGGACCTTTGGGTTTCTTCCCAGTTCTAATACTGTGAGGTGTTATGTATCTTTTCTCACTAGGCACATCTACTCAAGTGTTTCGCACAAGCAGAGGAAATCATCATGTGAAAATACCACTTTAATTAGGTAGAATGAAATCAGTAAAGGAAGCACATCAAAAGAGAAAAGAGAAAACTGCTCAACAGTCAAAATGTAGAACAACACTAGCTTCTGCGACCTAAAGTGATCTGTGAATTCCTTTGTATACTAGAAGCAACTTAAAACTCTACTCAAAAATAACAATCTCCTTTGAAGAAATCCTTTGAAGAAATTAATGTTGCTATATTAATTCTGCATTCACAACACTGAGCCCATGCTTATTTTAGCATGTAAGCATAACTTCTAAATCTTTATGAACAAATTTTTAAAAGTCCATCCTCATAAAAATTTAGTCACTGTTTTCACAATTAGCACTAAAAGAAAATTAACTCTCCTATGCTGTATCTCTTTTAAAAAAATCTACTGTGATATTTTAGAGACCAGATACCCCCCTCAAAATTTTAATGAACTGTATAATCTTCATGTATAAAACTAGATATGCTTATAAAGAACAATCATTTTAAAAAGTAGTACTTTATTTGATACAAATTAGCAAGAGAAGCTTTACTAAAAGTCTATGAGTCTATAAAATAAAGACATTTAAAATTTTAAGAATGCATATATTTAATAGGCTGGATCCAATAAGTAATCTGAAAACTTATAATAGAGTTATATTTATTAGCTTGAAAAGACTTACTTGGCCCATATCAAAATTCATTCTAGAATCTATAATTCATTTTTTAAGGGATCACGACTAACTATGTTATGTGTATGTATGTGTGCGCGCGCGCACACACACACACACACACACACAGAACCACTACAAACTGTAATGTTTCCCCATACATAGGGTGGCATCCAAAAAGGCAAGTTTCAAGCGGCAAATCTGATGGGACCTCTTGTTTTAGTCCTCATTATGAAATTGAAGAATGGGCTATAATGAAAAACAATACTAGGAAAGATCTAAGTTTGCGGGCATACATTCACCAGACATCTTCCAATCATAAAAATATCTACTTCAAAGTACCAAGAAACAAAGTACTTTTAACTCATATAAATTCCTCAATACATATAACTGTAAAAATCATAAATATGTCTCATATGACCTTAAACTGTTAAAATAAGGATAATGAGTGACAGTTATCTATTCACCTACCAATGGCTTTAAACTCAGTCTCTTTAGTTATAGTATACAACTTTCCAATCCAGAGTATACTTAAACAACAAAAAAGATGACAAATATTGATTTTTAATTGGAATAAAGTGCTTCAACATTACACATAAAGTGTTAGTGAAGTGGCAATTTAACTAAAGGACTTCCTGATTGAAAAGCTCTCAAATCTGAAATCACTAGAGAAAAGAGGGGTTGTGGGGGGGGGGGTTAAAAAGGAAAGAAACAAACAAAAAACAAACTCAACACCCTAAAAACAACTCTTCTACAAATCCTAAGCAGATGTTCCGTGTGGGAAGAAATCAATTCAGGAGAAACCATCTTCTTCACAAAAATTATTCTGTTAAGAGAACCAGCACTTTAAAGAGCTGTTTTTCTTCTGTTCATCATCTATAAATGAGGAATCTTCAAGGAGACTGGTGTTGCAATTACAACTAATCCTCCCCAAAAAATTAACTGTGTTGAAGGCTTTGTAATTTCCCTAGGTACAATTTAGCTGTCACTTACTTTAAAATTTACTCAAACATGCGTTCGGAACAGCACTAACTTCACATGTCAAGTGCTTTCCAGCCAATTGAGTCTAAACTAGAAGTCGGTGTTAAACAACTGAATGATTAGACAAGATAGCTCATTTCCCTGCTCTTTTGTTCAGAATAAAATGCCACATTTACATTATCAGGCTCAACAGGATTTTCTGACAGAGGGAGAAAAAAACCCTACTGCACACTGTCCGTACTAAGCACATGAAGCCTGTCATTTACCAATCATCCTTCAAAAAGCAATAGCCATGAATGTAACTTAATTACGACCCAATGATCCTTGACGAAAAATCATCTTATCACTGTCCTGTCCCCCCAGGGCAAATGAACCAGTTTTTGTCCTTTGGCACTGATGATGCTAAATTCTTAATTGCAATAATGGAGTAAAAAAGCCAAACCTCCTTAATTTCCTTTCAGCACATAAAGAGTTTTACTCTAGAAGGCAAGCATTCCCATAAATAATAAAAGTATCCAGTACAAATGAAGATGCTAAAATTGAAGGGGAGCATGTATGACAGAATAATCAGCATTTTAAAAAGTGTATTTCCCATTTATGACACATATTAAAGTGTTACAGTGAGTTTCAAAACTTATACTGTTAAAAGTTCACCTTAGAAAAATTGTGACCTTTATGAAGAACTCAAGATTAATTTAGCAAGATTTCTGGGAGGATTATATATACAAAGTCCATGATGCACTTACATGAAATGCATATGTACATATACAGATTACAGCACAAATCAGCCCAAAAAATCCTTAATGGAAAGCAGAAATTAAAGCTGCTTTGATCATTTGCACTAATATAATCCAGTTAAACAGCTTCAGTTGTTTTGAATGCATGTAATGAAACCAAAATGGATCAATGTATAAAATAAGTGAATCTGAAATTGCATCATACAAATTTTTATGCTTTTAAATATGATGACCCACTTTATTAATTTCATTTCCTTTACTATAAAATGAAGACTAATCAAAAGCTTTTTAAACCTATTTTAAAACATTCCTTTCTTCCTTAATATAGAGGATCTCTGTCATCTCCCTGAACGATTTTAATAAAAGAAATACATTTAAAAATAGTTACCAAAGAAAATGTTTAAAATAATTTTTATTTGGATTATATGTAAAGATATGGCTTGGAGACTGTAATGTAATGTGTAAATGAAACACACAAACATTGTCTTCAATTTTCTGTTCAATGTATTATCATCTTGATAATACAGAAGCAGTTTACCAACTTCTTTATGATTTTCCAAATCTGTTATTGTTTTGGATTTCCCTTGACAAATGAATAGAAACAAAACATATTATTTCTATACCCACAGAGCTCTTTTACATTATCCAAGTAATACAAACTAACACAGTATTAATTTCTCCTGTGTTCTATCCAATGCTGGAAAAGTCAGTTCAAAATTAAGATCTACTGAATCTTTCTTTTTTTTTGAGTCAGAGTCTTACTCTGCCACCCAGGCTGGAGTGCAGTGGCACGCTCACGGCCACCTCAGCCTCGACCTGCTGGGTTCAGGTGTTCCTTCCGCCTAAGCCTTCCAAGTAGCTGGAACCACGGGTGTGCGCCACCATGCCTGGCTAATTTTTTAAAATTTATTGTAGAGATAAGATCTCGCCAAGTAGTCCAGGTTGGTCCTGAACCCCTGGGCTCAGGCAATCATCTCGCCTCTGCCTCCCAAAGTGCTGGGATTACAGGCATGAACTACCGTGCCCTGCCAGATGTACTGAATCTTCAAGATTGTCTTCCTAAAGAACTTCATCTCATGGATTTGCTTCAGAATTACAATATGAAAGTGATATTCTCTTCAGAGTCTTTTGCAATGACATGCCAAAAAGAAGCTTGCTTTTGAATGAAAGGAAGAAAATTTGTTACAATGTTCTGAAATGTTTTTTATAATAATTTCATCAGAAGTTTGAATAAATAAGGCTCACTCCCCAGATGAGCTCATACCTGCTGATGTCAATTACATGATATTACTGAAGATTAAACACATTTAATCAAATCAAATACATGTGGACTTTTTGGCACGTTGGTGTACTTAATCCTAGTATTTGTCATGATTCTGAATTAATTAGCTAATGCAGAAAACACAACTGGAAAAATGTCCTGAAGTTAATGTTTTACTTCAACATTTCCCCCAAATATGAGTGTTACTACTGGTTTCTGCAATTTTATAAATATGAAATTTTCTTTATCTCCTTTTTTTTTATTATTCTCATGAGTGAAAGAGTCAACAAAACATTTCTACTATGATAGATGAAACTAAAATATCTTGTCAGGGGGACTGCCTCTGCAAAGTAAAGATAGTTACCCCCAAAATATAATAATAAAAATAAAATAAAACACAGGCAAATAAAAATAGAAGGTAATAATTGAAACAAAAATAAAACATAAAGATGGGTATCTGAAAAGCAGTAAGGTACCAAAAAAGAAAAGATACAAATGCAGATTTCTTTAGCCCAGTTGACAGGAAAGCCAAATTTGACTGAGACCCAGAAATATCTGACTGTACTGTCTAGTTAGAAGCACAGAGGATGATCCAGGTTAACATCTGAATTCGTGCTCCCTTGGGCAAGCTCTCCTTGGTTCATGAGCCCCATCTGCAGACCTCTTTCGGAAAACTTTCACGTCTCCTCTGTCTTCAAAGTATTTCTATTTGTAAGATACTTTTCTACCGTGGCCTCACTTTCACTGCAATTATTTTATTTTTGCCCAGTAGTGTAGGAGGGCCTAATTCTTCTGGGCACAGGGCCCATTTCTTTCAAATCCCTATGCAGAGTTGCACATGCAATTTGCAGAGATGGGTCTTTTAAACAATCAAAAAACTTCTAATAGGAAGCATATTAATTATAGGATTTCTATATAAAGTTGGCTGTGAATATGATAACTCAATAATGCAGTAATTGTTTGAATCACTACTCCTTTAAAAAGATGTAATGCTGAGATTGTGGAGGTTAAGAGTTGGCCAATCATTTAACTTGATAATTGTTTTCGATTGGATGGCTAAGGAATTATTTCATATGCGCGTGCATACCTGCATTTCCTAACAGAGCTAGTTAAAAGAGATGTTTTTTATTATACATTTAAAAATTCAATACTAAATCAATCATCAAATTCAATTAATTATACCCCCTAATAAATTAAGAAAAAACCACCAAAATTTGGGGAAAAAATAAGAACTGTTAAAACATATAGTATTTTATTTTTCCCCTGACATTGATAGGGCAAGGTCCATATTTGAAACCAGAAAATCCCAATCACAAAATAAGCAGTTTACAAACTGTGTTAAGCTATGGAAAAGATGACAAGGAGGTAAGATCTAGGAAATTTAAAAAGCAAAAGAGAAAACAAAAACAAATGCAAAAGAAGATAATAAAGGGTACTTAATCATCTTACTAAAATGTTTCACTCAATACAAAAGAGTAGACTGATTTTATGATTTGCATTGCAAATAATGCCTTCAACTGAGTACCAACATGAGCATTTCAAACAGAAAAATGCTCCAACTCCGTAAATCCTGCCCTATCAACAAAGTTCATCTTCCCACAAGACAGGGGAATTTTATACAACATTTATCAAAGCCAGAATAACTATATTAGTGTTTGTAACTAAAATATCCTATGGAGAAAAGGAACACTGGAGAAGTATTTCTACATGTATTACGAGTAACAGTCATGACACATAATCAAAAGCCCCACAGGAGCCTTTTTTCTTATATTAATAAGTAACACTTATTAGGCTCAAAACTCGAAAAACTAAATTCAATTTCATGTAATCATCACAAACTCCTACAAAAAAAGCACTAGAAATCATTCCACTGAGAAGTAAGCCACAGGGCCACAGGGTTACTGGTGGTTTTAAAAGTCACTTAGTCCTTATTTGTCCTCTTATTCTGTGGCAAATGACCTCCAAGGCTTCCTCATCACCAGAGTATTTACAAAGTACAATTCCAAAATTAATAGACTCATTCTTTTAATGCCAATATTTAAAATTCAAAATTCAACTAACTTACTTTTCCAGGTACACAGTGACCAATGGGGAACTTAAGTTGGTGGATGGTTTTGCTAACCCTAGAGTCAGGATGGCTTCATGCAACTGTTTTACTGTTTCAATTTCACCTCTTAAAGCTGCGCCATTCAGGATATGGAAAAAGGACAAGACTGTTGCATCTTTGATAAGAACATCCTTCTCTTTCATCTCCTTTAGAATGTTAATAGCATCTACAATGAAGTAACACAAAAGACCCTTAGGTAATTTCATGTAGGGAAAACAAACTGCTATTAAAACAGCATTTCAAGCCCAGCAGGAATGTAAATTCTAGTGTATAATGCCGATTTCAAGTTAATTACTACTTGCATTTCTAAACGAGACTACAATTATAAATCCACAATAGCATGGTTTTATCATTTCCCTGCAACTTTGACTACAAATTATAGATAGGGACTGTGTGCCCACTCTGCACCACATAACCCTGTACGGTCTGCCCTATAGCTGTAAGATCCTCCTAAATGGATGCTTTTATCGTTCAGAGCTAACATCTGCTAAATCACACCATTGTTTCTTCAGCAGATGGCTTGTCAGGAGGCCAGATAATAAAGATGTGTTTACACTGTATATACAGCCAGACTAATGGTCTGATACCGATAGGGCCTGTTTGCTATGTCGATACTAATTAGCCAAGCAGAGCCAATGAAAGCTTTCCAAAAGACTGCATGTTAATACATTAGATTCATTAAGCTTCATTAGGAAGGCAGAAACAAACATTTCAGGATATGGAATAAGTGCATTTTTATAATGTTGTTTTTAATTATGACACAGACAAAAATGCTTTGGCCTCTTTATAAAAAGTGATTTTGTAAAAAAAACAGGCTAATTCTTATAAAAAGTTAGAAAGCCTTCCTAGGAAAAAAATTCAATATTCTAATACTTTCCCCATACAATTTTTTTATAATAAAATTACAAGAACCTTTTCTAGAAATCAAAGGAAGAGAGGAAGGTGAAAAAGCAAGTTTCAAAATAAAGAAAAAATCAGAAAGTTAAGAAACAAGCAAAATACTAAGACTATATTGTCAAGTGTAATTAATTATATTAGGCTTAGCATTTATCTCAACAATGAGCAAATCAGAGTATGCAAATTAGCTATATAATCAGCTATGCTATTCCCATGAACTATTAAACAAACTTTAATTAAGTATATACTTTAATTATGTTATTAATAAAGTATATACTTTATTAATGTTATTACAAATTAAAACAAAGGCTACTGCAAAATTCAGATTCTTATGTATGTGGTTACGTTTGTAGGTTTTATGTTCAGCCTTCAGACCTTCTTAAGCAAAGACAAAGTCATTAGTGCAGGCATATAAGCAAATTGTGCCATAAGTCATGATCTTCAAACTCAATCCAAACAGCAATGCTAATAAAAACTAGCTACAGAAATGCAAAAGGCACTGAGCTGTGCAAATGTAAATGACAAGCTTGCCAATCCATTAAAACTAATGGCCTACACTGTCCATGCAGCTCTGGTTGGATTCACATGCAAATTTGTATGCAAAGTGTTCAAGCACTTTGCAGGACATGATATACCATTAATATCAATTCACATGTTATTCCAGTGGCAAGGTACTTGCATCACATATTTCTTTATGTGCTGAGGCTTACCTTGGAGCTTGCCATGCTTTCCCAATACTTTTACAAGGCCTACGTACTTGCTGGTGTCAAGGACAGCAGATGAATCTAGACGGTCACTAAAAATCAAAGCCACCATTTATATAATGTTAAAAGTCAATAAACTGCAAAGAGAACTGCCAATATCTATGTTATCTCATTCCAGAAGTTCATTAGAAGGTCTGGATTGTTATTAACATCGGCCTCTACATTTCAGCTTTCTTTTTGAAGTCATACATAAATTCACATGTAATTATATTCAAAGTGACTAGATGTAAAAGTCTAACATTACATATAACTACATCACTCCATCTGCAAAGATACTAATGAAGAACCTCTTTGGCTTTAAATGATTCAAACCTTCATCACGAACACTGAAACACCCAAAAACATTTTTATTTAATAAATCTGCCAGAATGGGAAACCTGAGAAATGGACAGAATTTTATTAACACTATAATATAGAAAGAAAAATGCCATCATGCCTCATGAAACAGTTACCATCACCACTGCTGTGATGTGCAGACGGAAAAGCAATAGAAAAAAAAAAATCTTAGCTTTAAGGTCTAGAATGTTTTATCATACTGTAACAAAGACACCTTGCTGAAAACAAGCCACAATTAAAGACCCTTATACTATGAAATTTCAAAATCACTGACAACAAAATAATTTTTCCAAATTATATAAGAGAGTAATATTCAGTCGAGGTGATATATCAAGGACTATATATCAGAATAAATGTTGATGGCTTATTTCAGTGCCAGGGTACTCACAATTCTTGTTTCAAGTTCAGTGCATCTTCTGCATTATCATGTCGACAGCATAAATTTATTAAAGCTGCATAGCCACCAACAACCATGTCCGATTCATATTTTGCTTTCAATTCTAGGGCTTTTTGCATATTCTGAAATAAAGGACAGAAGTGAAAAAGAAAGAAGAAATCAATCAATGTGAGGGTAAAAATATCACATTTTTAGCTTTAATGTTCAGAGTTTAGAGAAAGTTCAAAGAACTTTCAAAATAAACAGTTTCATGATAACAACTTTATCCAGTCGCTCAGTATCTTTATTCACTTTAAAAAGCAGGCATATCAGATACACATGTAGGGGTTAAAAGATTTGTTATCTGTGATATGCACAGGCCAGTATTTACACGAAATCTGATGTTTGCGGTTTTATGTATGGTACCTACAAGAAAAATACTTCCAGATTAAATAATTCACAAACAGCCTCACAATCCAATTTCTAGATATAGAAATATGTATCACTGAAAAGTTCCCCAGTTTAGTTTGGTATTCAAGTAATATGAAGAAATATCTCAGAAATTAACAGTATCATATTATAATCTTAGTCATATTTTTTTCCCTAAAACCACATGCTTATGAACAAATCATATTGAACTAGAAACTGAAAAAAAAAGTCTAGTGATATCCTACAAATTGCAGACACACACTAAAATGAACATAAAGTACAGCTGGACGCCTGCTGAAAAAAGGCAAGAGACCCTTTATCTCAGAAAGAGCTTTTTTCCAGCAGGAAAATGGAATTTCAATCCCTACATTAACAACCTAGTAATATTTGACTTGCAAATGACTACTGCATGTATCAGTTGCTTGACAATCTAGATATAAGAGACCGGAGCCATGGCTTGAAAGGACATTTGGCATGTATGATAAACCTATCACAGCTGTTACTATCATTCACTTTGCAGATTATCGTAAACAAACTACAGCAACCCGAAAACATGCCATTCAAGGTGTAGCTGAAATTAGTTAACCTTTCATTTAATTGCATTCTTTACAAGCATGAGGTAATAATCAATTGTAAAAAATTGTAAATATTGTATTTGGTTTTGCTTACTGCTATCTATAAATAATTTTTTACCTTGGAAACATTAAAAATATTTAAACAAATGTTACCTCTTCTGAACAAAGCAATAATATGAGTTGCTTTAGGACATCTCCTATAGGCTGATTTTCAGCTTTTAGTGTTTCAAGTGTAGACTCCAACTCAGATGATGTAGGTTGCACAGTCTATACAAATGGAAATAAAAACTCACTAAAAGAAAGAAAATGCACCCTTTTCATTCATCTCTTTAAACTGACGTTCCTTTCTACTTTCCTAAATGTCATAAATGCCATAGGAATATTAACAGGGAGACCTGGGGATGGACTCCAGAAGTAAATAAATCTTGTGAGATATATGCAAATTTCTTACATTTTTCTGAGTTTTTCTGAGGAAAAGGTTTTTACCAACTTCATAGTTCTTATATAAGATGATAAAAATGTTAGGAACAACTGATTTTATAAGGACACAATCTAGAATTGTCATTAAATATGGATATTATAGAATGTAGAACCACTTAAAAACCTACTTACTTTTCGAGAGTCTATCTTCTCTCTCTCAGTCAACATATTAACATCCTAAAAGTGAGATTTAAATTAGCACAGAATTAGAAAACACATGAAAAAATGTATTAGCAAATGCCAAAAGCAAATTTGGGAAGTCTCACCTCATTTTACTGTTACTTTCCCATCTTTCCAAATTTTGCAAAACTTCTGTTAATATTCTATAAATCACTGTAATTAATGCCTTAAATATATTCCTCAACATATAAATAGTACTTACTAACAATCAATGAAAACTTTGTTTCAATAGCTGCCACTGAAATAAAATTATTTTTGGCCAAAAACATCATATTTATATAAAATTTTAACATATTTTATATATAAATTAAGCATTTTATCAAGTTGATTACTATTTCACACACACCTTAATCAATTCAGGAACATGGTAGCTATCCAGGAGATTACGAATGCCTCTGTAGATATTTTCAGGAATTTTTACATTCTGTGAGAAGGGAAGGGAGGGGGGAAGAAAAAAAAAAAAACCTTGTGAGTTTTAGACAACTAAACTGAAATTTGTCTAACAGAAATTATCTCAGACATAATTTAAGTCTCCAACTCTTGCATGTCATTGAGAAGTGGTCTGGTTGTACTTAAAAGCAGCAATTTCAAATCTAATAGATACATGTCAGGCAGGACAGGCATTATATAGCAAAAAATGAAATGGTACCATCTCCTTCAGCTGATGGAAGTATTGTCTCAAACGCTCCTCCTTGGCCTGTACCTCTGAGTCACTCATGCTGTCAATCAAGTTATAAAGAAAATAGCCAACAGCTTCTGTGGAAAAAAACAAGAGAAAGCATTCCACTAAAATTACTGAGACTGTCATGTTATCAAGATTAATTTATAAGAAATCATTTTGGTGTGAGATGTCACCCTGATGAGAGGCTCTGAAATGGCAACAATGATCACTGAGGCATAGAGATTATGTGGTTTGGGAGCACATATCTAACTGGTGAGTGAAAGGAATATTAATTATTTTCAGACCGAGTGACAGCTTTTCAGTACTGAATCTTACTTCAATCTATTTTTTTTCCACCACTCTGTGACAGAAGTGGTTCTGCCCAAGGCCTTACCCCTCTCCTGTCCAAATCACAAGTAGTAAGAATAAATGAATGTCTTGTACACATTTCCGTACTTTTTTTGTGAAATTTATTTAGGGAAACACATAAAATTATAAAGGATTGTTAAATGTTGAGTATAGAAAGTTAAATAATTTTAATAAGCAGATACAGTAATCCTGTGGAGAGCTGCCTATTAGCCAATGAAAAACCAAGATTAACAAAGATGTTTTGTAACAACAGTAATTTTCCTATGCATTCAAGCATAAAATGTATAGGACCATGTGTTAATATCTAGGACAGGAAATCTGAACTTTTAAGAAGGATGGGTACCTTGTTACAGAAAACGATATAATCTATGCTTGATTATATGAAAACTGAAAATCACTAAATGTCAAAATAATATATTTTGGGTAATAAATTATATTAAAGTGGAAAAAAATCGATAAGCTCTTTTTCTTACATTTTATGTTTGAAATTAACTACACCTGCAAAACATTAAAAGCACCTAAATACTAAGAATCAATGATTTAAGTCTATTCCCATAGGTGCTGTAAGAGACATTTCCTCAATAGCTGAAAAGAGAAAGCCTTCCAACCCTGTCTTAAAAAAAAATTATAATAAAACCAAACACTTCAGATCTCAAAATGTTATGTTTATCAATATAAAGATTTATAACCAAATGTTTTCAAATTTCACTTTCAAAAATAAAGTGTTTACTGCTGTAATCCTTCTAGACCTTCATTACACAGAAGAATGGATTTGTGGATAAGTTACAATCATCGAAATTGAAACGCTACCCGTTGGTCCTGGAGGCTCCTGGCAATAACGTCCATCCTTGTACAACAATTCTGTTATCTGGTAAGACAGAAAATTCGTGCATTGTAGCAAGAGAAGCAAACAAGAACAAATACACTATGAAATTGGATTCTTGAAATAATAAAGCCTCTCCTCAGTAAGGTATTATTCTATATCACAGTAATTCAACACCACCCTCACCCACCAAGGAGATTGTTTTGTTTTTAAATAGGTCTGTCTTTTAAAAACAAAAACAAACCCATGTTGAAGGAAAACAGCAATGTTTATGAAATGTCACAAAGCCTCTAAAATGATTTATAAACTGATACATAGACATCACTTTCAATTAATTGTTATAAACAGATAATAGCTTTTAGGAACTATCAACCAATATAATTTCTCATCATATTATTTTTGGTCTTGTTGAAATTGAACCAGTTTCCTCCTTTTAAATTAAGCTTTAGTGAAATATAAAGTAAAATATTCTGGATCACCAACGTATTTTTTAGTTATTCAATGACAATTTTCCATTAATTTCAGTGGCATTAGAACAAAAGAGGTCAAAGATCTAATATGTTTGTTCTCATGGATTCTTATGAATTGAATTCACAATCACATACACAACACTTATTTTCCAACATTAAGCCTTCCAGTGAAATTTTAATAAAAAATATATCTTTGTGACAAAATTACACAACATACAGTATTGAAACCATAACTTTAAACACAGTAGTTGACTGTATATCCTCAGGCTGGAGATAATAAGAATAGAAACATATAGTAGGTGTCCAAAGTGATATGGATAAGGAATTCCGAACTACTTTATGTATATTCTATGACAGAGCTTATTTGCTCTTGTACAGTGCCTGACATTAGTGTTAACAACTCAAACTGCTGTATCTTCCACTACTATTTATTTGTTATTGTGGAAAATGAGGCAAAATTGGTCTCATGCTGTAGTTAATAGCAATTCAAAGTGCAGCTAAGGTAGAAGCAAAAACTGTTCAAAAGAAAAGTAAACAAAACAATCCTCACCTACAAACTTTTAAAATCCAAACACATGTAAAAGACAACATATTCTAGAAATTGTAACCATACAATAGATATAAGACAGTCATCTTTAACACCAAATTTTGCACAGACACATTTATTTACTGAATAAACCAATGAAAATCTGTCTAATAAAAATGAGTTTTTTAGACACAAATATGCAACTATATATTAGAATTGACTGTATCATTTGAATGGCATTTTGACTAATACAAGAAATAGAATTGAATTAAATTTACATTTAAAGAATACTCAAATTAGAAATTCTAGTTAATGATGTACATTATGAATTTAAGCTGAAAATCTTTCTCCCAATTCACTATAACTGTACTTTCTGCATGAAATCAGTTAACTTCTTAAAAGGTAGCAGTATAAAGCTGGTCTGTGAATCATTCATATGCAAAAACACACAAGCATATATACATATACATTAAGGAAATTAACTATTGAATCTGTAAGGTCAAATGTCACTGTGAGAATTCTAACAGTTTTCTTTTGGAAAAGTTGAAAACCTTGTTAAGAATTCAGGACTAAGTCAAAGATTACTTCAGTCACACACTTCATGCTGTTTTAAAACTACCAACTTCAAGATTCTAAATTCATTAATATATGAGTACATCACAAATGTGCAAAGCTATCAAAACCTTTGCTTTTAATGGCTTTTTATATATATCACCTTATGATCTACAATATTAGGATGACTTACCTTGCTCCAAAGGTTTATATTCATAGACCTGCAGAGGGCAGCAAAAGATTGAAAATAAACCCAGAGGATTTAAACACCATTTTAAGTTAAAATGCACTCGCAATTATTATATGTAATACGTACAGATCCAAATATTAAAACAAGTCAATATTTGCAAAATCATGTTCAATTTTTAGGACAAGGTAATTTAGAAAGGTTGGCCCTCTCCCATTTTGAATATTCAAAATAAAGACTGAGTTAGGCAACAATCATTAAAGTACCACCCCTAAATCCTAGGGTCCAAATTTGAGGGAGCAGGATATTTGTAAGGTCTCAAAGTGACTGCTCACAGACTACTTGTTACTTGTAATAGAAAACTAGTAGCTACACAATGGAGAAATCGCAACACCTTGGCTGGAAGATAAAAAGTACCATGGCTTTAGATGTAAATTCCCTGAAAACACAGAATACCACTCATGTGATCTTCTAACTGGAGTTAACCAGAAGCTAATCAAGGGGAACCACACAAGGAACATTACAAAATAACTGGCCTGTATCCCCCAAAATGTTAATGCCATAAAAGACAAAGGCTAAAGAACTATTCCAGATTAGAGAACATTAAAGAGAAATGATGACTAACATTCATTCCGTCTCTGCACTGGATTCTTTGAAGACGGGAAAATACCAAAAAGGACCCAACTGATGAAACTGGAACATGAACTATATTAGATAAAGATATTTCATTAATGTTAAATTTCCGGACTTGTTACTTGTGCTGTGGTCATGTAAGAGAACATCCTGTTCTGTAGAATTACATACTGATATATTAAAGGTCATGATTCACGATTCTGCAACCTAAGTTCAAATAATTCAGAAAAAATAAATATTATATATCTCTATGTGTGTATACAAGGGTATTTAGATTGATAGGTAGACAGACGTTGGGAAGAAATGATAATATGGCAAAATGCTACAAGTTGGTAAACGTCATATACATGTGTTCTCAGTACTACTCCTACAATATTTTATTAAATTGAAATTATTTCAAAGAAAGCAAAGAAGAAGTTGTGTGTGGTAGCTCATGCCTGTAATCCCAGCACTTCTGGAGATGAAGGCGAGAGGACTGCCTGAGTCCAGGGATTTGAGACCAGTCTGGGCAATTTGGCGATACCTCGTCTCTACATTAAATCAAAAAATTAGCTGGCCAAGGCTGCAGTGGCTGTAAGAGTGCCACTGCACTTCAGCATAGGCGACAGAGTGAAAGTCCAACTCAAAAAAAAAAAAAAAAAGAAAAAAGAATTAGTGAACTAAAATTTTTCTGTTTAAAGAAACAATTTATAAAGCAGGATAACCAATGAACATTAGCTTTGTATTATTTCTAGGTTTGATGTTTACAGGCTTTGTATACTTAATTCAAACTTATACTTTAAGAGGACTAATTATGTGCTTTATTTGTAATTTTAAAAAGTAAATATTATACACACACACACACACCCTCCACAAAAATTCACAGGTCTTTTTAAACCTGACATTGTGCAGTTTTGAGTAGTTTAAGTTTTGGCACAGTGTGAGTTGATATAGTACTTACTTTTACTTGAAAAGCATACTCAGAATAAACTACTGATACATGCACCAACTGAGTGGATTTCACGGACATTATGTTAAGTCAAAAATGCAAATGATGACTTCTTACAGAGAAGTTCATTTAGGCCTGGCAAGGTGGCTCAAGCCTGTAATCCCAGCACTTTGGGAGGCTGAGGCAAGAAGACTATCTGAGCCCAGAAGCTCAAGACCAGCCTGGGCTACGTGTGAGACCTTGTCTCTATACCAAAATAAAAAAACTCAGCCAGGCGTGGTGGTGTGTGCCTGTAGTCCCTGCTACTTGGGAGGCTGAGGCAGAAGGATCACCTGAGCCCAGGAGGTCAAAGCTATGGTGAACCATGATCGTGCCACTGCATTGCAGCCTGGGTGACAGAGTGAGACATCGACTCAGGGGAAAAAAAAGTTTATTTATGTACCATTTGCAAAATACCAACATTACAGACATTGTGAACAAATTAGTGGCTGCCACAGGATTGGGATGGGATGGGATGAGTGTGGCTATAAAAGGGTAGCACCATGTGTGGTGAGGGAGTCACTCTGCATCTGCACTGCAGTGGTGGTTTCTGAACTTACACACAGATAAAACGACTGCACTAGCTGCACACATTGCACCACTGTCAATTCCTAGTTTTAATGAGATACTACAGTTACATCACATGTAACCATTCAAGGAAAACGGGAGGAAGGTACACAGACCCGTCTTTGCAATGTCCTATGACTCCATAATTATTTCCAAATAAAAGTTGTGTATTGGCTGCGGTGGCCGGAAGCAGCCACTGCACTCCAGTCTGGGCGACAGAGTGAGGCTCCAACTCAAAACAAAACAAAACAAAAAGTTGTGTATTAAACAACACATTTCCATGCCCCTCTAGAATCTTCTCTTTATGATGAACCCTTCTGCTGAAGCATGTTAAGAAAAATTTGGTCAGGAGTGGTATGTATAGCTTATGCCTATAATCCTAGTACTTTGGGAGGTGGAAGCAAGAGGAATGCCTGAGCTCAGGGATACGAGAGCAGTCTGGGCAACTTGGTGAGACCTTGTCTCTACAATAAAAAAGAAAAAAACAATTAGCCAGACATGGTGGTGCACATGTGTAGTTCTAGCTACTTGGGAGGCTGAGGCAGAAGGATCGTCTGAGCCCAGCAGGTAGAGGCTGCAGTGGCAGTGAACGTGCCACTGCATTCCAGCCTGGGTGACAGAATGAGACTCCAACTCCAAAAAAGAAAAAGAAAAAGCTTTGAAAAAGATTTATAGGTAGAAAAAATATTGATGAAGCCATGTGTTTATTTTTATTGGGGGGGGACTTTGAGAAGTCAGTTAACAGAAGGAATAATAAATAGACTTAAAATCTTATCTCTAGATTGTAACAAAAAACAATCTCTCCACTATTACAAGACAGTTTTCATCTAACTCATTCACAAATTACAGAGAGCCTCTCTGGACTACTTGTCATTTCTATATGCAGAAAGATTTTTACTTTTTTTGCCAAAAAGGACATGAAAAAAGAAAGAGGCCTCAAGATATTATGAAGATAAAATACTGGACAATGAAAAGTAAGCTACAGTAAAAATCTATACTGACAAACATTAGACATCTTTTTTGGTTAGGCTTTGCATCGAATTTTAACCTGCAGGTACCTACCACATCTAAGGAAAAGGGAAGGAAAGGAGGAAAAATTAAGAGTTTACAAGAAAGTGAGAGACTAACGTGACAAGGTGCACAACATTAAGTGGCAAGACTGGGAATGGTTCTTCACCTTTGCTATATCCTGGACCCTTTTGGGCATTTGCTAAATTCTTCTTAACTACTATAAATTTTGTTCAGTGTGACTCTATGGTGATTATGCTGTTTTTACTTAAAATAAGTTCAGAGAGGTTGAGGCAGAAGGGTCACCTAAGCCCAGGAAGTCAAGGCTGTGGTAAAGTCATGACTGTGCCACTGCACTCCAGCCTGGGTGACAGAGACTCTGACTCAAAACAAAATTCCGAGAGGTATTCTAAAATATTGATAGGTGGAATGACAGGAGATCTGTAATAATCTTAACTGTTAATGCTGGGAAATGGGAGTCAGGTGTGGTAGCTGACTCTTGTAATCCTAGCACCTTGGGAGGCTGAGGCAGGAGGACTGCTTGAGCCCAGGAGTTAGAGACCAGCCCAGATAACATAGTGAGACCACATTTCTACCAAAAAAAAAAAAAAAAATTAGCCAGGTGTGGTGTTGCATGCCTATAGTTCCAGCTATTCAGGGGGCTGAGATGGAAGGATCACCTGAGCCCAGGAGGTTGAGGTTTCGGTGAGCTGTGATTGTACCACTGCACTCCAGCCTGGGCGACAGATTGAGATTTGATTCAAAAATAACAACAACAAAATAAAAGGGGGGAATGAGTACATGGGAGTTTTACTTTTTGTGAATTACATAAATTAGCAGGGCTACCCTTTAAAGAAAAGCAACTTTAATCATATCTTTGATCAAAATATCAACTTAATGTCAAATAAGAAATAGTTAAGACATTAAACTGAGCCAGGCTCGGTGGCTCAGCCTGTAATCCCGCGCTTTGGGAGGCTGAGGTGAGTGGATTGCCTGAGCCCGCGGGTTCAAGACCCACCTGGGCAACTTGGCGAGACCTCATCTCTACAATAAATCAAAAAACTAGCCGGACGTGGTAGCGCGCGCCTGTAGTTCCAGCTACTTTGGAAGGCTGAGGCAGAAGGAACGCTGGAGTCCAGCAGGTTGAGGCTGCAGTGGCCGGGAGCGTGCCACTGCACTCCAGTCTGGGCGACAGAGTGAGACTCCAACTCAAAAAAAAAAAAAAAAGACATTAAATTGCCCTCAAACCTGGCATGAAGTTACCTAAGGAAGCACAGAGATAAGATTTCAAAATTACACATATATCTAAAATAATTAGCCGGGTGTGGTGGCTCACACCTATAACACCAACACTTTGGGAGGATTGTTTGAGCCCAGGAGTTCGAGACCAGCATGGACAAAACAGTGAAACCTCAGCTTTACAAAAAAGAAAAAAACCAATCAGGCCCAGTGGCATGCATCTATAGTCCCAGCTACCTGTGAGGACTAAGGTGTAAGGACTGCCTAAGCTCAGGAGGTCAAGACTGTGGTGAGACAGGATCATGCCACTGCACTCCAGCCTGGGCAACAGATTGAGACCCCAACTCAAATAAAACCAAAAAACAAAAAATGACTAAATCCACTACCTTGAGAAGCTTCATGGTGATTGGCACAGGTTTGAAACAAAAACAGAAACTAAGAATGGTTAACACATCCAAATCCAATGCAATCTTACTTCTGGCCCCAAACTCCACTGAAACTACTCAGGCTAAAACCACCAATGATCTCAATTCAAAGTTCAACAAACACTTTTTGGTACTCTGATGAGGTTTTGGAATTTGTGCTGGTTTGACAATTATCTGCCAAGTGATACTCAATCT